TGCAGTTCTCTTTAGAATCTCCCCGAGCACAGTTCACAGCAAAAAGCAAAATTTACAACTCCCCCTTTGTGTTTTATTCTTTTCTTTTAACTCCCCACCTCTTGCCAAACCCTTGCGTCATTTCTTACAACCCCCTCTATGAATTATATACAACCATGGCGACATACACATCCTTGTTAAGGGCCCACTTTTACTGGGAAAAAATCTCTCTCTTTAATACTCTAACCTGAGCCCCATCTCAAGTAAAAAAATTTTATCTTTTGTAAAAACCTACCGCCTAACCCTACACCGCAACATCCACATTTCCCCCCACTCCACCCTGTCATACGCCTTTTCCAAATCCATAAATGCCACAAAAACCTCTTTAGCCTTATCTAAATACTGTTCACCTATATGTTTCACTGTAAACACTCCCTACCCTTCCTAAAGCTGCCTTGTTCATCTGCTATCCTACTCCATCTTATTCTTAATTCTTTCCATAATAACTCTACCATACACTTTACCAGGTATGCTCAACAGACTTTTTTCTTTTTTCTCTTCAACAAGTTGGCAATCTCCCACCAAGGCAGGGTGACCCAAAAAGAAAGAAAATCCCCAAAAAAGAAAATGCTTTCATCATCATTCAACACTTTCACCTCACTCATACATAATCACTGTTTTTGCACCCAGAACACAACAGTTTAGAAGCATACACGTATAAAAATATACATGTCCCTTCAAACTGCCAATATCCCAAATCCCTTCTAAAAATTATTATTTGCGACCACTGTCAGCCTCAGAGTTATCTCGGAGTTACCAGACCTTGCCGCTTGGGCCAGGGGGTTTCCCCTAAAAATTTTTGCTTTCTCTTTTGTCCCTTTTCCTTTATAAAAAGGGAACTATACTGCTTTTGCCACCCCTAGGTACCTTACCCCCTACATTTAAAACCCTTAAATGGTCAAACTAAAAATTCTCTCGTTACGCCCCAAACTTATATTTTTTTTTTTTTATTACACACTGGGCCGTTTCCCCACCAAGGCAGGGTGGCCCGAAAAAAAAAAACTTTCCCACATTCACTCCACCTGTTTTGCCAAAAGGGTGCTTTAAACTACGTTTTTAAACTTATTAACCTTTCATTTTTTTTTCTTCAGCATTGGCGCAATGCCTAGTCGCCTAGACATGAGAAAGGGGGGGCACTAAAGGTGCACGTTGAAAAAAATTTGGGGACGCCTGGGACCACAGCTCTTTTTTTTATATAAAAAAAAATTTCCCCAAAATATTTGGGGCCTACGCAGGTAAACTATATATGCTTTTGGACCATTTAAAAAAGGGGGTTAAAAAAATGCACCAACACCCAAAAGTATACCCCCACCGCTTTTAACTTTCTGTCTTTACTCATCAACCCCAGTTGCCTTACCCCCTTTCATTCTACCCACTGCCTCATAAACTTTCCCCACACTCACAGTTGGCTCTTCCTCACTCCTACAAGATGTTATTCCTACTTGCCCTATACATGAAATCACAGCTTCTCTATCTTCTTCAACATTTAACAATTCCTCAATTTTTTATTATTATTATTTTTAAATCACACGGGCCGATTCCCCCAGGCAGGGGGGGCCCGAAAAAGAAAAAATTTTCACCATCATTCACTCCATCACTGTCTTGCCAGAAGGGTGCTTTACACTACAGTTTTTAAACTGCAACATTAACACCCCTCCTTCAGAGTGCAGGCATTTACTTCCCATCTCCAGGACTAAACCCGGCCTGGGGGTTTCCCAAACCCCCTTCATAAATTTTTCTTTGCTCACCCCCCAACACACTAAGTTTTAAAAATTTTTTTTCTCCACTACCCCTATCAAACACGCTAAAGCATCCCCGGCGGAAGCCCAAAGCCCCCGCACACAAAACCCCCTTTTATCCCTCCCCCCCAACCTTTCCTAGGCCGACCCCTACCCCCCCTTCCTTCCACACAGACTGATACACCTTGAATCACTTGTTTCGCTCCATTCTCTCTACTTTCCAAAACCCCCCTCAACAACCCTTCCTCAGCCCTTGGAAACATTTTGGTAATCCTGCACCCTCCTAATTTCCCAAAAAATACGAATTCTCTTCATTATTTTGCCCTCGACATGATATCCCCCCTCCCTCCTCCTTCTCCTCACTGCAACATTCGTCACCCATGCTTAAACACCCCTAAAGGGGTTTGGTAAAACTATACTTTCATACATTCCCCCTTTGCCTCCAAGGACAAAGTCTTTGTTCCACAGACCCTAAGGAAACCACCACCCCTTTTCCCCCCTCATAAATTCTATGTTTCACCCACTTTCATACACCCTCCGCTGAAAACGTCCACCCCCAAATACTAAATACATTCACCTCCTCCATCTCTCTCCCCCAAATCTGAATCCAATCTTTCATCACCTAATCTTTTTGTTACCCTCTTTAACCTTACTTTTTCCCGTTTTACTTTTAATTTTCTTCTTTTGCACACCTCCCAATTCATCCACCAATCTTTTTGAAATTTCCTTCAGAATCCCCCAAAGCACAGTGTATAGCAAAGAGCAACTGTGACAACCCCCCACTTTATGTGTGATTTTTTACTTTAACTCCACCCTTTTCCCAAAACCCCTCAATTTACTTTTTTTCTTTAAACCCATCTATAAATAATTAAACAACCATGGGACATCAACATCCCTTGTCTAAGGGCCCACTTTTACTGGGGAAAAAATTTCCCTCTTTCCTACAAATCTAACCCGAGCCTCACTATCCCCCGTAAAAAACTCTTACTGCTTTTTAGTAACCTACCCCCTACACCATAACCTGCAAAATCTGCCACATTTCCCCCCATCCCCCTGTATTGCCTTTTCCAAATCCCTAAATGCACAAAGCCTCTTTAGCCTTTTCTAAATACTGTTCACTTAATGTTTTCCCCTGTAAAAAACCTGGTCCACCACCCCCTACCTTTCCTAAAGCCCCCTTTTTCATCTGTTATCCTTTTCTCCGTCTTACTCTTAAATTTTTTATAAAACTCTACCATACACTTTACAGGTATACTCAACAGACCCTTTTCCCCCCATAATTTTTTTCCCCTTCTTTTTTCCCTTTTTCCTTTATACAAAGGAAAATGCATTTTTCCTCGCCAATCCCAGGTACCTTACCCTCTTCCATCATTATTAAAAATTTGCACCAACCACTCCAAAATTATCCCAAAACCCGCTTTTAAACATTTCTTCTTTATCCACAAACCCGGGTGCCTTTCCCCCTTTCATTTTAAATTTTCTGCCTCACAAAATTCCCCCACACTCACAACTGGGTCTTCCTCACCCTACAAGTGTTATTCCCCCTTGCCCAAACGAAATCACAGCTTTCCCTATCTTCATCAACTTTAACAATTCTCAAAATATTCCCCCCTCTTCCCCAATTTCCCCTAAATTCTCCTTTAATAACTCTCCTCTTTTTTTTTAATGACAAATCCCTTTGTTCTCTGGCTTCCTTAACTTGTTAATCTCATCCAAAACTTTTTTTATTTTCAAAAAAATTTTTGATAAAATCTCACCCACTCTCATTTTCTCTCTTTTTACATGCTTACCACCCCCAACCACTCCTTTTTCTCCTATAACTTCCCTCCTTGCATACTTTGCTTTTAAAAACTTCTCTATGAAAATTTTTCTCCCTTACGCTCTTTTACATCCATTCCCCCAATCGCTCCCTTCCCTCCCGCAAACCCCCTTTCCGTAACCACAAACTTCTGCTGAAAAACACTAACACTACATTTTTAAACCCACCCCTACCCCATCGACCCCATTGCCTTGCCCCATTGCCCATCTATCCTCCCAAAACTGTTTTATCTTACCCAACGCCTCCTCTTTTAGTTTATAAAAATTCCCCCTCTCTTCCCTGATCTTTATTCCCCTTGTATCCCCTCTACCTTTACTTCAGTGTAGCACAATAAAAGTATTGATATTCTGTGGCCCCTCTATAAAACAGTCATCCTGAAGTCTACTCAACAGTCTTTTATCTACCAAAACATAATCCAACAAACTACTGTCATTTCACCACTACATCAATCTTGTATACTGATTTATCCTCTTTTTCTTAAATATGTATTACCTATAACTAAACCCCTTTCTATACAAAGTTCAATCAAAGGGCTCCCATTATCATTTACACCTGGAAACCCCAAACTTACCTACCACACCCTCTCTAAAAGTTTCTCCTCTTTAGCTTTTCAGATCCCCTACCACAATTACTCTCACGTGGTTCAAAGGCTCCTATACTTTCACTTAACATCTCCCAAAATCTCTCTCTCTCCTCTACATTCCTCTCTTCTCCAGGTGCATACACCTTATTATGACCCACTTTTCACATCCAACCTTTACTTTAATCCACATAATTCCTTGAATTTCACATTCATATTCTCTTTTCTCCTTCCATAACTGATCCTACAACATTACTGCTCCCCCTTTCCTTTGCTCTAACTCTCTCAGATACTCCAGATTTTAATCCCATTTTTTTCCCCCCACCGAAACTCCCCAAACCCCCTTTCAGCTTTGTTTCGTTTAGGGCGACATCCAACTTCTTTTCATTCAAAACATCAGCAATCATCTTTTTTCTTGTCATCCGCACTACACCCCATGCACTTTCAAGCATCCCAGTTTTATAAAGTTTTTCTTCTTCTCTTTTTTAGTAAATGTCTACAGGAGAAGGGGTTACTAGCCCATTGCTTCCGGCATTTTAGTCGCCTCATACGACACGCATGGCTTACGGAGGAAAGATTCTTTTCCACTTCCCCATGGACAATAGAAGAAATAAAGAACAAGAGCTATTTAGAAAAAGGGGAAAAACCTAGATGTATGTATATATATATGCATGTGCGTGTCTGTGAAGTGTGACCAAAGTGTAAGTAGGAGTAGCAAGATATCCCTGTTATCTAGCGTGTTTATGAGACATATATCTTGTTTTTATTTTACTGCATCCTTAGATTAGGTTTGCTTTTGGTGTATATACATTAGTATTTGCAGGGTATACTACACGTGGAGTATCTTGGAACTTCAGACGAGTACAAGTCAGAAGCTCTTTTTGCTAATGCTCGCCAGATGCTGGCACAATATCAGCAGAAGAGAGCCCAGAAGGAAGAAGAAACACTGCCTATATTCTACTGGCCATACACTCTTCTCACACCAGACAGGGAGCTTGAATCTTTGGCCACAATTCGTAATCACTTAAAACGTGGACATTATGAAGATGCGGTAAGTATTGTCTTTCCAGTGTACATATATTTTCCTTTGTAATTTACTCGTGTGTGCTGTATTTTATACTGTAACATAAAGGAGATAGTGTATTAAACTGTAGCATGAAGGAGATAGTGATGTATATAAAGAAAATGTAGCAAAACCTTCATATTTGGTCTTGACAAACTAGAAAGACATTACGAAGGATGACCTGGAACTTTTTTATATCGACCAGCCAGTCATGTGAGCATGCAACTGAAACCTGTCGAAATCTTTGCACATTAAATAGACTGCACTAATTGTTTTTAGTGTAATGAATGTATAAGATGGCAAGTAGAAATTTTACTTACACCCAGTATGCACTTAGTTCATATGCTCTATTATAGGTTGCAATTTTAAGACTAAAATTTTTAGAGGAAAAGTAAGGAGGTAGCTATACTTTTTCAAAGGTTGAAATAAGTGCATGTTTTCTTCCCACAGTGATAAAGAACTGACAGTACAACACCCTAACTTGTATCGCCTCTTCCTTCACCAATGTTGAACCTCCCTCACATTTTTTTTTTAGTTCAGTTTGTATCCTCTAGTTCCCCCACCCCCCTTTCTTTCTCTCATCATCTAGCATTCCTCCCAATAGCATCTGTTTGTGCACTTCCATCACTGAGGGTAGTGAGAGGCTTTCACCAGCTACAAGTGGTTCTGTATATGCTATGTTACTTAGGTCTGTGGCAGACTTACTCTACCAGATGTGGGTTTCATACTGGTGCTTCATACTTCAACATGGGCCTAACATACGTTGTGTGTAGGGCTATTAAATATTAATTATATTGACGGGTGTGAAATATGTATCCTTCACTAAATGAAAATTTGACATTTATTGAAGCCTATATAGAGTATCATTAAGTATAAGGCTGAGTAAAAAGTAAAAAAAAATTAATAGATAGGAAATTGTGAAGATATTGCAAATAATTTTTATTGATGTTTCTTTGCATTGCACATGTTTAAATGTTTTTGGATTTTTATATTTAAACTTTTGTAGTATATTTTCAGAACAGTGAAAGCCTCCACTTGATCTCTATGACACAGCATGGCATGGACTACTATCACAACTATGATCGACTGGCATTATCTATCCATATTGCATTGGGATTTCTTGGCTGGATATTTCTCATGATATGCCATCTGTTACGAGTAAGTGTGTGTGTAGATTCTACATTGTACATTGAGCAGTGCAGTAATGCTTACTGCCTGTAAGTGACATTTGTATCCATGTTTATAAATTTTTAATTACAGAGCTTAACATGTTTTAGTGGCAGTACTGCACTTTGTGCCACTTTTATATCTAAACCCTTGAGCTTACAGGCTAAGTGCTGTTATCCTACCTCTGCTTATTTCATTGCCTAGCCAATTCTACAGGATGCTATACAGCCTCTCCTCGCTTAACGACGGAGTTCCGTTCCTAAGACCACTTCGTTAAACAAATTCAACGATAAGTGAAGAGCACACTAAAATGGTAGTGGGTTTGTGTCAGCCATCTTTGATATTGTTTTAAGGTTACCCTTGCACCATTTATAACATTTCTGGTATATTTCTAAATGTTTATACAGTAGTGTACTGTATATTGAAATAATAGAGGAAATCAGTTCTAATATACATTATTTAGATATGAATACTGGTCAGAGAGCTGTCGTAAGTCCGAGGCATCGGTAAACAAGTACGTCGTTAAGTGAGGAGAGGCTGTATTGTAAAAAAAAAAAATTGCTGGTGTAAGCAAATGACATAGGTAAGCCTCCATGGATAGCGTTCTTTGTCTCCACAAATACTTCAACACACCACTCGCCTTTTTTTCTTCGGCAATTCTATGGTTTACCTCATCCTTCATAAGCCCATCCACTGACAAGTCAACTCTCAAATATCTGAAAACATTCACTTCTTCCATACTCCCTCCAATGTAATATCCAATTTTTCTTTATCTCAATCGTTTGATACCCTCATCACCTTATTCTTATCTATATTCACTTTCAACTTTCTACCTTTACACACCCTCCCAAACTTGTTCACTAACCTTCGCAACTTTCCTTTCGAATCCCCCAAAAGCACAGTATCATCAGCAAAAAGTAACTGTGTCAACTCCTATTTTGTATTTGATTCCCCATAATTTAATCCCACCCCTCTCCCCAACATCCTAGCTAGCATTTACTTCTTTTACAACCCCATCTATCAATAAGTTAAACAACCATGGTGACATTACACATCCCTGTCTAAGACCCACTTTTACTGGGAAGTAATCTCCCTCTCTCCTACACACCCTAACCCAAGCCTCATTACCCTCATAAAAACTCTTTACAGGAACATTTGCCACATTGCTCCCCTATCCACTCTATCATATGCCTAAATTTCCTGTTATACATAGTTTTATCTTTGAATTCTTCTGACATGTAAGCAGTTAAAATTATGATTTTAGTGAAAAAAATACTAAAATTTTTATAGTTACATTTCAGTGACTCAAGAGCAAGCTGTGAAACCTTATCCTTAAAAACCACAGAATTAGGGAATGTAAAAGCTCTTAAGAATCTTAAGAATCCAAATTTGCAAATTTGACATTAATCTAATTCATAATTCTTACATGCATTATAACTTCCATGTATATTTGTTTAACACAGTGGCTGTCTCTTGCCAAGACAGGGTGACCTAAAGAAGAAAATGTATTCACCATCATTCACTCAATCTCAGTCTTTGCAGAAGTGTGCTGATATTACAGTCGGATTACCCTTCAACTATAACATCCCCACCCCTCATTCAGAATGCAGGCACTACCCTTCTTACCTCCAGGACTCAAGTCTAAACTAATTTGTTTCTCTGAATCCCATCATAAAAGTTATCTTGCTCACACTCCAACAGCATTTTCATTAACTTCTATGTTTTTTTTTTTTTTCAACAAGTCGGCCATCTCCCACCAAGGCAGGGTGACCCAAAAAAGAAAGAAAATCCCCAAAAAGAAAATACTTTCATCATCATTCAACACTTTCACCACACTCGCACATTATCACTGTTTTTGCAGAGGTGCTCAGAATACAACAGTTTAGAAGCATACAAATATAAAGATACACAACATATCCCTCCAAACTGCCAATATCCCAAACCCCTCCTTTAAAGTGCAGGCATTGTACTTCCCATTTCCAGGACTCAAGTCCGACTATATGAAAATAACCGGTTTCCCTGAATCCCTTCACTAAATATTACCCTGCTCACACTCCAACAGATCGTCAGGTCCCAAGTACCATTCGTCTCCATTCACTCCTATCAAACACGCTCACGCACGCTTGCTGGAAATCCAAGCCTCTTGCCCACAAAACCTCCTTTACCCCCTCTCTCCAACCCTTTCGAGGACGACCCCTACCTCGCCTTCCTTTCCCTGTAGATTTATATGCTTTTCATGTCATTCTACTTTGATCCATTCTCTCTAAATGACCAAACCACCTCAACAACCCCTCTTCTGCCCTCTGACTAATACTTTTATTAACTCCACACCTTCTCCTAATTTCCACACTCCGAATTTTCTGCATAATATTTACACCACACATTGCCCTTAAACAGGACATCTCCACTGCCTCCAACCGTCTCCTTGCTGCTGCATTTACCACCCAAGCTTCACACCCATATAAGAGTGTTGGTACTACTATACTTTCATACATTCCCTTCTTTTCCTCCATAGATAACGTTTTTTGACTCCACATATACCTCAACGCACCACTCACCTTTTTTCCCTCATCAGTTCTATGATTAACCTCATCCTTCATAAATCCATCCGCCGACACGTCAACTCCCAAGTAGTATCTGAAAACATTCACTTCTTCCATACTCCTCCTCCCCAATTTGATATCCAATTTTTCTTTATCTAAATCATTTGATACCCTCATCACCTTACTCTTTTCTATGTTCACTTTCAACTTTCTACCTTTACATACATTCCCAAACTCATCCACTCTCTTCTCTCTCGTCTCCCTCTCTTCTACACACCCTAACCTGAGCCTCACTATCCTCATAAAAACTCTTTACAGCATTTAGTAACTTACCACCTATTCCATATCCTTGCAACATCTGCCACATTGCTCCTCTATCCACTCTATCATATGCCTTTTCTAAATCCATAAATGCAATAAAAACTTCCCTACCTTTATCTAAATACTGTTCACATATATGCTTCAATATAAACACTTGATCTACACATCCCCTACTCACTCTGAAACCTCCTTGCTCATCCGCAATCCTACATTCTGTCTTACTTCTATGTATCTTCTGGTAAAAAATAATTTTTAATTTAATTTTAATCTAGGATATGTTCTAGTTTCACTGCCCTAATCTCTAGCAGAAGGATTACATCTCACTTCTGAAAAATATTATCGAGAGGAAAATTCTAACATCAGAAGGCTTTTCACAGCATATTAAATTGATTGGATTCCTATTTATATGTATGTTGGAAAAAAAATGGGTAAATATATTTTAAATTGAAAATACAGTGGACCCTCAGGTAATGATGTCATTGGATAACGAAAAAATCACATAGCGACACTTTTTGTGTCAAAATATTGACTCGGTTACCGAAAAAACTCGGTTAAGGACATTTATCCCGAACGTGTCCGCGGGCCCGCTCCATGTACAGCTAGTGTGCTATTGTTTACAAGCCAGGGAGGACGATTCCATGCATACATACAATATATTTTGTATTATTCCATTGTTTTTAGTGCTTTTAACTGCTAAATAAGCCACCATGGGCCCAAAGAAAGCTTCTAGTGCAAGCCCTGTGGTAAAGAAGGAAACAAACGCAATAGGATTCAAGAAAAAACTCTTAGCAAAGTATCAAAGTGGAGGAGGAAAAGAGAGGGAGAATGTGCCTTCTGCAATAATTCAATGATTCTACGATATGTATGATACTAAAGCAGCAGGTATCGATAAAGGCTATAGTGCCAGCCAGCGATGAAGTGTAGAATTAACAGTGTAGCAAGTAAGTTAAGCGAGTAAGCGATAGAAAAACGACATGAAAGTAACTCTCCAATGTTGTTGGATGTGTATAGGGCCAATGAACATACACTGCCCTGTTATCTTCCACCACCCTAAACCTCTGCTAACATCTCCATCAAACTAACTAATTAAACTAACATCTCCAAGGTAAGTGTAAATATAAAAATGTAAGTATAAAAGTAAATCTTTCTTTCAACACACCGGCCGTATCCCACAGAGGCGGGGTGGCCCAAAAGGAAAAACGAAAGTTTCTCCTTTTACATTTAGTAATATATACAGGAGAAGGGGTTACTAGCCCCTTTCTCCCGGCATTTTAGTCGCCTCTTATGACACGCATGGCTTACGGAGGAAGAATTCTGTTCCACTTCCCCATGGAGATAAGAGGAAATAAACAAGAACAAGAACTAGAAAGAAAATAGAAGAAAACTCAGAGGGGTATGTATGTATGTATATATATGCTTGTTCATGTATGTGTAGTGTGACCTAAATGTAAGAAGTAGCAGCAAGACGTACCTGAAACCTTGCATGTAAAATATAAATATTTCTTATTTATAAATTACATACATTGTTTAAGTGTGAATAGTGTTGGTGGCTTCTGCTGCCACCTCCACCACCACTAATATGTACGGCTTCTCTCAGTGGCCCTTATAAACCCAACACCACCACCGCTTACTCCTCACATACATTATGACATATTTTATTCATTCTAGAGTATATATCATGTTTCTATGTTATTAATGTTGTTTATTATGTCATTAGATGAATTGTAATAAGAAAAATAAGCCGTAGAGATGATATTAGCGTCATATTGAAGCATAATAAACTCGCCTCCCTCTCGCTTTCTACCTGTCTTCCATACACCAACAAGAGTCAGTAAAGGTAAGTGTGATGTTAAATGTTCATTTATCCATTTTATTAGTGCTTTATATTTATTTGTCATTGTTTTCTGCATGTATATCTATATTTATCTTTAAAAAAAATATTTTTTGTTAATACTTTTGGGTGTCAGAAACGAATTAATTGGATTTCCATTAGTATTACATTTCAAAGTTTCACAATCAATATGACTGTAGCCTTGTGTGGCAAGTAAGACAGAACTTGTCGAGAACATGATTTATTTATTTTTCTGTTATCTTGTTTTTCTTCGTGTATCTTAGTTGTATGTTATTCATTCATACAGTTGATTTTGTCTTGTATATTTTTGAATACTTTTAATTAAATTTCTGTGTTAGCTTACATCTTATCCAAAATAATGAGTCTTGTACAGGCTATGTTAAAATGTTATTTATATTATAACCATACTCCTGTATCCAGGGGCATAGCCAGCCAACTTGGGCCCAGGGACTAGTTACATTTTTTGGTCTTTTTTCATCCCTCCTTCCCTCTTTCTCTCCCCAGTACTGAAAATTAAAAAGGTGTAGTGTTGATGGACTAATAAAAAGACACCATTTTCCTCACAATTTAATTTTTTATTGAAGCAAAAATAAAATTCAAGAATTTTTAATTTAGGTGCAATAGTTTTATATACCCAAAATGCTTTGCTTAACAAAGGACTTTCCTTATACTATGCAAAATGGTGTAATCCCAGTTCTGAATCAACAAGATGTAATTTTTGGGATTAAAATTTGACTTTCCTAGTGCTCTACAAATATTATAATTTATTGTTTTATTCTAATACGAGGATCACAGTGCCGTGTTGAGGATGGCAGGAGGCACCATAGAAGGCCGCCGAGTGTGGCGATCATCAGTGTTGATGGCTGTGGTGCTGCTAGTGTGGGCAATAACTAATCTCACAAAGCTTATAGGTCAGTAATCACTGGATTACATTTCCATAAACAGACACTGTAGAGACTGAATATTATTAGGGTTTAGGATACTGGCAGTTTGGAGGGATGTCTAAACTGTCATATCTGAGCACCTTTGCAAAGACAGTGGTTATGTATGAGTGGTGGTGAAAGTGTTGAATGATGAAAGTTTTTTCTTTCTCTTTGGGCCACCCTGCCTCGGTGGGATACGGCCGGTTTGTTGAAAAAAAAAATACTGTATATACATACTGCACAGTAGTTAGGAATTGAGGCCCAAAAGATCCAAGGGTATTTCTCATTCAGTGTTCTAAATTCCATTGTATTGAGAGGCATTGTTGTAGAGGGCATAATAGGAATGTTTGTGTGCCAGGATAAATGATATCAGGGCCTCCAGTGTAATTGTGCTTTGAAGGAGATTGTTTTCATAGACAGTACTATACATAACAAAATGAGCAGTAATGGCAGTTTGCTAGATTATATATATTGGTAGATAAAATATTGATGGGTAAACTTCTGTAAGTTTATATTGGATCGTTTAAAGTTACATTTAAATTTTTTTTTTTTTCATTAACACACTGGCCGATTCCTGCCAAGGCAGGGTGGCCTGAAAAAGAAAAACTTTCACCATCATTCACTCCATCACTGTCTTTCCAGAAGGGTGCTTTACACTACAGTTTTCAAACTGCAACATTAACACCCCTCCTTCAGAGTGCAGGCACTGTACTTCTCATCTCCAGGACTCAAGTCCGGCCTGCCAGTTTCCCTGAATCCCTTCATAAATGTTACTTTGCTCACACTCCAACAGCACGTCAAGTATTAAAAACCATTTGTCTCCATTCACTCCTGTCAAACACGCTCATGCATGCCCGCTGGAAGTCCAAGCCCCTCGCACACAAAACCTCCTTTACCCCCTCCCTCCAACCTTTCCTAGGCTGACCCCTACCCCGCCTTCCTTCCACTACAGACTGATACACTGTTGAAGTCATTCTGTTTCGCTCCATTCTCTTTACATGTTTGAACCACCTCAACAACCCTTCCTCAGCCCTCTGGACAACAGTTTTGGCAATCCCGCACCTCCTTCTAACTTCCAAACTACGAATTCTCTGCATTATGTTCACACCACACATTGCCCTCAGACATGACATCTCCACTGCCTCCAGCCTTCTCGCTGCAACATTAATCGCCCATGCTTCACACCCATACAGGAGCGTTGGTAAAACTATACTCTCATACATTCCCCTCTTTGCTTTCAAGGGCAAAGTTCTTTGTCTCCACAGACTCCTAAGTGCACCGTTCACCCTTTTCCCCTCATCAATTCTATGATTCACCTCATCTTTCATAGACTCATCCGCTGACACATCCACTCCCAAATATCTGAATACATTCACCTCCTCCATACTCTCTCCCTCCAATCTGATGTCCAATCTTTCATCACCTAATCTTTTTGTTATCCTCATAACCTTACTCTTTCCTGTATTCACTTTCAGTTTTCTTCTTTTACACAACCTACCAAATTCATCCACCAACCTCTGCAACTTCTCTTCAGAATCACCCAAGAGCACAGTGTCATCAGCAAAGAGCAATTATCAAATGGTATATTTGATAATCACTCTGTCAGACACTGCAACACAATGGCATCTTGGTACAGAAGAGAAAACACCTTGATCAACTTTTTCGAGTGAGAATTGTTTGATCTGAGAGGGACATGACCTCCCAGTGGCTACATTCTCACTACTATTACTCTGCACCTCTCCTTCCGACAGTATTTAAGTCTCAACACTGTCACTTGATGTGCAAGAATGGTATATAATACCAACAAGATGAAATTAAGACACATGTGCAACATCTGGGTATCTTTATTGTAGACGTTTCACCATCCTGTGGCTTTATCAATACAAATTCTAGGACATAGCTTGAAGACAGTAGGACTATATACAGAAGATGAGGTAATCAGTCCCTCAACCTAGGAGTAGGTGCGAAGAGCACCATAGTCGTGGAGATTCTGAAGCAGAAGCAAGGAGCCTGGCGCTTATATAGTAACGCCAGGTGTAGCAGACGAGGGCATAGTCACTGGTAGGCGGGATTCCCCAGTGGAAGTAGGTCCTTCCCAAAGAGATGGGTTAGTTGTAGTAGTAGTTGTCGTAGTCGTGAAGGTTATGTACATGTCCTCAGAATCAAGATTCCATGATGTTGCAGTGTCTGACAAGTTGTGCAAGAATGGTATATAATACAGACAAGATGAAATTAAGACACATATGCAACATCTGGGTATCTTTATTGTAGACATTTCGCCATCCAGTGGCTTTATCAATACAAATTCTTTGGGAAGGACCTACTTCCACTGGGGAATCCCGCCTACCAGTGACTATTTAGTAATATATACAGGAGAAGGGGTTACTAGCCCCTTGCTCCTGGCATTTTAGTCCCATGGAGATAAGAGGAAATAAACAAGAATAAGAACTAGAAAGAAAATAGAAGAAAACCCATAGGGGTGTGTATATATGTGCTTGTACATGTATGTGTAGTGTGACCTAAGTGTCAGTAGAAATAGCAAGACGTACCTGAAATCTTGCATGTTCATGAGACAGAAAAAAGGACACCAGCAATCCTACCATCTTGTAAAACAATTACAGGCTTTTGTTTTACACTCACTTAGCAGGACGGTAGTACCTCCCTGGGCGGTTGCTGTCTACCAACCTACTACCTAGGTTATTAGGTCTTGTTCTTGTTTATTTCCTCTTATCTCCATGGGGAAGTGGAGGAGAATTCTTCCTCCATAAGTCATTTGTGTCGTAAGAGGCGACTGAAATGCTGGGAGCAAGGGGCTAGTAACTCCTTCTCCTGTATACATTACTAAAGTCAAAAAGAGAAACTTTTGTTTCTCTTTTTTTGGGCCACCCTGCTTCGGTGGGATACGGCTGTTTTGTTGAAAGAAGATGAAGTTAATGCAGTCTGTTAGTATGTACATTATACAGTTTATTCATTGCAGAATTACAGCCTCTCCTCACTTAACAATGAAATTCCGTTCTTAAGACCATCTCGTTAAACAAATTCGTCGCTAAGTGAGGAGCATACTATAATGGTAGTGACTTTGTGTCAACCATGTTTGATATTGTTTTAATGTCACCTTTGCACCTTTTATAACATTTCTGGTATATTTTTAAATGTTTATACAGTAGTGTGCTGTATATTGAAATAAACAGAATAGAGGAAATCAGCTCTAATATACATTATTTAGTTATGAATACTGGTCAGAGAGCCCATCGTAAGTCTGAGGTGTCGGTAAATAAGTACGTCGCTAAGTGGGGAGAGGCTGTAATGTACTTCTGACAACCATCATGGTGCTGCCATATCTATTTCATCATTTGTTGTAGATTTTCATTCTTGGTGTGATGTAAGGTATCAAGACTTGATTCTTCAGATACATACCCTTGCCCTTTACATTCAGCATTGCCTGTGTTGTATCTTTACATTTTACTGGATCTCTAGCTATATGGATGTGCAGAGAAACCAATTTGCAGACTTCTCATGCTTTGAAGTTCGTGACCCTTGTCAGAAGGCAGTTACTCTTCCCAACTTTATCATTGTTCTGACTGGACTAAGAAGATTGCTGGCAGTGATGCTGGTCTGTGTTGGTGATCAGTAGGTGGCTTTTAATGAAACTGTAGTTGGACCTCTGGGTATGATCTCTTCATTGTTTTCTCTGAGAAGCAGTGCTCTTGTGGCTGCACATTGGTCATACCAGGTTCACCCATGATCATCTCATGGAGATGTGACCTATGCCTTTATGAGAATTCTTTTGTCACTTACAGTTCATCATGTCATGATGATTGAGCCCCATGTGTTGAGTACTTTACATGTATATAGCAACCAGTAAATAAACCATACCACGGGTGGGATTGGACCTGCGGTCAGAGAGTCTCAAAACTCGTGGTATGGTTTGTTTGCATCGTGTCATTACGATTTTGTGAGTCATGTCAACCAGTAAATAAGTTTGTTTTAATTATTCTTTGTGTACATAACATTAAACTACATGTATGTTATGGGCAAATATAGAAACCCTTCGTAGATTTAACCTAGGATAACTCAATAATCAAACTGATTTTTTTTCATTGGGGTTCCTGAGCTGATTCAGGAATGATTCAGCGATACACCCTAACTAGACGAAGAATGCTACAGTCATGTAAAAATTTTGTAGGTCTATTTTCCTAATTTCATTAAAATTCTATTACAGGTCAGCAACACCCATGGCAGCATTACTTGTATCTAATGACACCAGTAGGGCTGTGGGTGTTAGTTCACCAAAGGTGTGCCCCACTGCGTGTTGCTTGGCTCCTCGTCTCCTCGTTCAACATGGTGTGGGAAGTAGCTATTCGCATACTCTTCATATTCATTGGGATTGAGATTCTGGTAGGTGTAATGTCTGATGTACAGTATTTAGTTTTGCTATTCTTCTGCATCATTTACTAAACATAAGGAAATTTTAAAGTTCAATTGTTTCTGTGTTCATGGGTGTAATGCAAATGATAAGAAAGAATTTATTGTTAACATTAATTAAATCAAGTGTATCCAAAAGAAGCAGAGCTAAAGGAGGAGTGATGGTACATTGATAATATTAAATGATCAACTGTAGAAATAAAGAAGGGGGTGTAAGTGTTTAAATTTAAGAATTATATGGATGAAAATGAAGTTGGGATGTGAGAAGTGGGTTATATTGGTTTATACATCTGAAGATGAGAGGAATGTAGAGGAGAGAGATTTTTGAAGGTGTAAAGTGAATGTGTATAGAGTTTTGACCTAAGTAGAAGAAAAAATATTGTGGGAAACCTAAATACTAAAGTGGGAGAGGCTGTTGTAGAGGGCATAGTAGGTAAGTTTAGAGTACCATGGATAAATGCCATTGGGTGCCTGTAACTGAATAATTTTTTGTTTTTAACACGTCGGCTGTTTCCCACCGAGGCAGGGTGACCCAGAAAGAAAGAAAAAAGAAAGCTTCCATCATTCAACACTTTCATCATCACTCATACATAAGCACTGTCTTTGCAGAGGTGCTCAGATACGACAGCTTAGATGTCCCTCCAAACTGCCAATATCCCAAACCCCTCCTTTGAAGTGCAGGAATTGTACTTTCCACCTCTAGGATTTGAGTCTGGCTAACTGGTTTCCCTGAATCCCTTCACAAAATATTACCCTGCTCACAATCCAACATCTCATCAGGTCCCAAAAACCATTCATATCCAATCATTCCTATCTAACATGCTCACGCATGCCTGCTGCATGTCTAAGCCCCTTGCACACAAAACTTCTTTTACCTCCTCCCTCCATCCTTTCTTAAGATGACCCCTACCCCTCCTCCCCTCCACTATGGATTTATACACCCTCCAATTCATCCTATTTTGCTCCATCCTCTCTAAATGACCAAACTACCTCAACAGCCCCTCTTCAGCCCTCTGAATAATACTTTTAGTAACTCTACCCCTCATAATTTCCACACTGCGAATTCTACATTTACACCACACATTGACCTTAGACACATCTCCACTGCCTTTAATCTCCTTGCTGCAGCATTTACAACTCATACTTCACACCCGTTGGCTTAAGCTGGTAGGAGAATTGGACCTACCTCGTATGGGCCAGTAGGTCTGCTGCAGTGTTCCTTCTTTCTTATATTCTTAAGAGTTTTGGTACCACTTTTCTCTCATACATTCCCTTTGCCTCCATGGATAACATTCTTTGTCTCCACAGATATCTCAGTGTTCCACCTACCCTTTTTTCTTCATCAGTTCTATGGTTTACCTCGTCCTTCATAAACCCATCCACTGACAAGTCTGCTTCCAAATATCTGAACACATTCACTTCTTCCATGCTCCCTCCCTCCAAAGCGACATCCAATTCTTCTTTACGTAACTTGTTTGATTTCCTCATCACTTTACTTTTATCTGTGTTCACTTTCAATTTGCTTCCTTTACACACCCTCCCAAATTAAATTATTTATCCAATAATACACTTGGTCAGTGAAAAAGGGATCTGATATTAAGATAACTGGGGAAGATGCAAGATAATTATTTTTTTTTCAACGAACTAGCCATATCCCATCGAGGCAGGGTGACCTAAAAAGAAAAAGAAAAGTTTCTCTTTTTAAATTTAGTGATGTATATAGGAGAAGGGTTACTAGCCCCTTGCTCCCAGCATTTTAGTCACCTCTTATGTCGTGCATGGCTTACGGAGGAATAATTCTGTTCAACTTCCCCATGGAGGCAAGATAATTGAGATAGGGAAATACAGTTAGCTAACAAAACAGAATATTCACTTCCAGTATAGAGTCTTTAATAGATCACTTGTAGAAGGCCAGCCAGACTACCACCACCAGGTTTCAGGACTTCATACAAAGCCTCACCTCAGTCCTCAACAGTGTCTGGCCACCCAGAGCCTCTAGATTGTCCCTGACCAAAGATCTTAGCTACTTTCCCTGAGGTTATAAAGGCCTCCAGACCCCCCATAACTTCTGGCTAGAGGTCAGTTTCCATTGGAAAATTCACTTTGTGGTCTCCATAGAGTTTAGAGTCCCTTGACAGAGCAAGGGTATGAAGATTAGCAGGCAAGATAGAAACTGGAGACTCAATATCACTTTCTCACACAAAAAAAAAAAAGATATTGGAGAAGCAGTCTCAAGTTATCACACCTTCAGCAAATGTTAGATTGGGTATTATGACAACAAGTGGCTTTTAGAGTTTGACATGTTGGAGTGTGAACAAAGTAACATTTATGAAGGGATTCGGGGAAATCAGTTAGCCAGACTTGAATTTTGGAGGTGAAAAGTGCAGTACCTGCAATCTGAGAGAGGGGGAGGGGATTTTTACTGTTCGGATGGTTGGAATTTTGCTCTTTGGGGGGTCATCTGAATTGCAATGCCCAAACACTAATGGCTCTACAGCTATTGAATGAATGATGGGGAATGTTTTATTTTTTGGGTCATTGTATTCTAGGAGGAGATGGCCAGTGTTATAAAAATAAAAGTATTTGTTTTTCAAAAGTAATGAACATGTTACCATTTTGCTTTACTTAGAAAACATTGTAAATGTGTGCACAGTTTTTATTTTTTTTTAGCAATAGTATACTTTAGTGATCCTTCTCAAATTGCAGGTGATGGCATTCTTCATCCGGCCAATGCTGTCCCTTGGGTTATTGTGCATTGGGCTGTGGCCAGTCATTATGTACTCGATGCAGGGAGCAGTGGAGCACTCCATGAGGCTAGTTTGGATTGGCGCCTGCATTCTTCTGGCATCATTTACATACATGCCTGTCGTGGGCAAGGAGCCATATTACCCAATGGTGTATGTTCAGTATTTACCCGTGTCAAGGATCCTTTATGGGTTTTCTATTACCCTTAGTTATTAGGTAAAACAAGAAAATTAATTTTTATTAATGTGTATTACAAGAAAAGGCACATTGCATAACCAGCTTTATTTGTTGTCTCAATATAAGCTTGTTAAGCAACATGTCTCTTCTTCACTATTGTCAGCTGTTTACCATTTACATTAAAGATGTTTTGCACTTTTGGTGGAGCTTGTCCATCTGACTTCATTCAGAATAGTGGTGCAGTGCATTAAAAGGTGTATATTAACTCCCTTATAAATACTACCATAATACAAGCACTCCCTATCTTGTGGTCTGAAAAGGCCATCTTCTCCAGTTGGCCAAACTCCTGTCAGAGGGGGAGGAGGGGTCGTGGGAAGGATCATGATGACTTACTTGTTAGCCATATTTGTAACTTGCAACTCTACCCTTGACCTAATGGTTCAGGAACTGTAACCTCTTTTGATGTCACCTTTCACTGCTGTTGCCTGCCATGGCCTCTCATATCCGGCAGCTACTGACCACCCAAGATTATGGGCTGTTTGACAGTGGTGTCACCTGCCACAGTCTTGGGTTCATAGTACACAGGCAAGTAACAGAAACACAGCCCAGGAGGAACCTTGGGGCCTGGAGATGTAGCTAGGCCCTGCCAGCCATCACCTCCCAAGGCTGACATATACCGACCACCCTGGATTATGAATTGTTTACAGATCGTAGGGGTTAGTTCTCTGTTCACCTGCCAGCACTGTCCCTGGACAACACATACATAGAGGTGCTTCATATGGATGGGTTAGACTACCTCTTTGTGACTGGCTCTTGGCCTGTTGTTGTTGCCATGAACTTTTGCACACATCCCATGACCAACAGTTTGTGATCTTGCACTTATAGCATCTCTGTTTATCTTCCCTCAACAACATTCTAGTGATGGCCTGTAATTGTTTTACATGATGGTAGGATTACTGGTGTCTTTTATCTGTCTCATCACCATGAAAGATTTCAGGTACATCTTGCTACTTCTACTTACACTTAGGTCACACTACACATGCATGTACAAGCATATATATACACAGCCCTCTGGATTTTCTTCTATTTTCTTATTAGTTCCTGTTCTTGTTTATTTCCTCTTATCTCCATGGGGAAGTGGAATAGAATTCTTCCTCCGTAAGCCTTGCTTGTCATAAGAGGTGACTAAAATGCCGGGAGCAAGGGGCTAGTAACCCCTTTCCCTGTATACATTACTAAAATTAAAAAGAGAAACTTTTGTTTTTTCTTTTTGGGCCACCCTGCCTCAGTGAGATATGGCCAGTTTGTTGAAAGAAGAATTATTTATATAGGCTGGCAGAGAAATGTAGAGCAGATTGTTTGCCTTGGTGGGAGACGGCCGACTTGTTGGAAAAAAAAAAACTAGTAAATTAAGAAGATGAAACAGTTGTAGTAGAAAGAACATTGGTGTTATACACAGTTTTCAACTAAATAGGATTTTATCTAATCTATAGACTTTACAAAACCCTGTTAAGGGTGAAATATATAATATAAAGACTCTTTTTGCTACACATATTTCACCATCGAAAATGTTTATCCTGCCACTGGTAGCAATATACATACTAACATTATCTCCATCTTTCAGGGAAATTGCTGGGTTAACTGCATTTACCTTAGGAGGCATTGTTATATACTGGTGAGTACCTTACTGTGTCATATTCATACTAGTAAGTAGAGTACATTTATTGTATCATATGCTGGTGAGTACCCTTTGTGTCATGTACTAGTAAGCACACTTACTATGTTATATACTGCTGAGTACATTTATGATGCCCCTCTGTATTTAGGTTTAGAGCTTAGTGCTGTAAAAAAGCTAAGTCTGGTATGATATATATGTTTCTATGTAAAGAACCTGTGAGCACTTGATAAGGATCACTTTTTTGTCAAACAAATAAATACTTATTACACTGTGGATTTTAGTTCTTGTATAACTATGAACCAGTGTATTTATAACTAAATGTTTTGTAATGTTTGTTTCTTTTTTCTATACAACAAAGTATCGACATGGGACACACGAAACTAAAACGTAGGACAAAGAAATCCAGGTAGCTTTACCTTAGTGCAAGCTTCCAAACATCTGCCATGCATTGTGGCATTTACACCACACCAGTTTCTTTTTTTTTAGTGCACTTCTTAGAGCATATGAAAAGCACTCACCCCTTGAAACTGATATTAACACTTGGTTTTTGGAATGATACGAAATGCCATGAATATAGTATAACTATTGCATGCTATTTAAAATACTCTTCTCACCACATTCAAATTTTTCATAGCTATTTTTTTCCTAGAGTGCCTTATTAAAAAAGTTAGAGTGCATTATTGTGTTGCATTTGGTCATGCATTACATTAAAAAGATCAATTTATAGACATTTTGTTTGTGTGTGGGCTACAGAGTAGTTTTAGCACTTGGAAACAATGAGAAGACAGGAAGAGCTGTAGGAATAACCCAGTAAAAATGAAGGGTGCAGTAGGCATAATAAGAGAATGTTTTCAACATCCACTGCCTAAGACTTCAATCTACTATCAGCAATTATATGAAATATTGCTGAAATAAAGATAAAAAATTTTCAGAGGAAATAGTCTACTACCTGCTATAAATGCCTGATCATCTAAGTTGTGATGTAAGCCTGCAGTCTGCTTGCAGCAATTGCTAAATCATTTGACATGGAAATCTGCCCTTGGGCCAGGCTCTGATGGTTGAACCTTGAAAATGGCTCATGGATATGTCACAGATAAACAGTTCATTCAGTGATTTGAAGTGTGCATATGGAAAACCGGAATAAATATCTAACAGAGGCAGGACTCTTTGCACTGGATTAAATTGGACAAGTTTAGATTTAGAAAGGATATAGGAAAGCACTGATTTGAAAGTAAAATTGTGGATGAATGGAGCAAACTCCCATGTAGTGTCATTGAAGCAAGAATTTTGGGTAGCTTTAAAAATGAGTTGCACAAATACATATGTGCATATGAGTTGACCTGCCTAGTATAGGCCAGTAGGCCTACTGCAGTACTCCTCCATTTTTAAGTTCTTATGAAACCTTGAGTCATATTCATATGTACCCATTACAGTTGATAACAGGTTAACACATTAGTTATGTTCCTGAAATTGGTGTGTAATCAAGAATCATGTAAAATGAACTGAAGAACATTTGTGGAACTCAGGATTATGTTCCTTAGACCAAAAATGTAACCCAATTTGTTTTTTTTAGTTAAGTTTTAATGAAACAATGATGATAATGTGATTGCAGGCTCATGTAGTGATGTGTATCAGTCAAAGATTCTGCATCGACATCTCTGCTAGTAGATGGAGGTGCCTTATTATTTGGTTGTTCCACTTGTTGCAGCTGTATGGGGGGCTATAAAGGAGGGGTTACAGTGGTGGGGGTGTAAGGGTTGAGGTGTAGATGAGAGGGGTCAGGCAAGAAGGGTTAGAGCTGTTGGGGTGGGGAGATTGGTGTTGGTGTGGGGATTGGGTGATTGCTGGTGTGAGAGGTGGACACCAAACAATGGAGAGGTGAGGGAGGAACTGGAGGTTGGTGTTGGGAAGTGGAGGATGCTGGGCAGTGAAGTGGTGTGGCAGAGTGGAGGCTGAAGCAACAAGGCAGTGTGATAGTGTGGGTGGCAGTGTTGTTAGCTCGGTGTGGATGACTGAGCAGGTGAGTGTGCAGTTCATGGTGTGGTGTGGGTGATAGGTGGATGAGTGTGCAGTTGGCAGTGTGGGTGGTAAGGAGGATGGTGGATGACTACATGACTAGGTGTGTTGGCTGCATGTTAGGGTGTAAGATCTATGAAAGCATAGATAAGGTGCGGGCATGGGGCTGTGTTGGTGTGGGCTATGTGTGCTTGAAGCTATGGGGAAATTTTGTGGGTGAAATGTGTGGTTGCCTCGGTGGCCTGGTGTTGATGATGGGTATCTGCATGAGTGAGTGTGCAGTTGGTGGTGTGGGTAGTAATGAAGATGACCAAGTTTGTGTGAATGGCATGTTAAGGTGGAAGGTTGAGCAAGGTGTGGACATGAGGTCAAGGGAAAATGGTGCAAGTGAGGGCATAGAGCTGGGCAAGTTGTGATCTTGAGGTAGTGGGAAAACGTGATCTGGGGAGAATAGTGTAGGTGTATGGCATGGGGGAAATTGTATGGCCGGGTTGTGTGAGTGGAGATTGTTGGTTGGGATGGAGTGAGTGAAGGTGTGTGGTTCTGGGGGAGTTGTGCAAATTGAAGGTTGCTTGGTGCGTGGCAGGGAATAAGTGAAAGTCAGCAGTATGGCAGAGGCATATGAACTGAGCACTGAGTCGAGGGAAATTGTGTACTTACCTGTACACTCACCATGAGACAGTGGGGAAAGAACCCAGCACATGGACATATTTTTTCCTACATCTACTCTGCAGTTTAAACTGTTTAATACTACCTGTTTACTGAAGATGCTACAATATTTCAACTGTGTTAAGGCATGTTCACCGAGGGTCTACTGTAATATGTAATTGGAATTGAGAATTCTTTTGTTTATGATCAAAATTCATTAATTTTAATTAATATTCAGTTATTTAATACTACAACAGTATAAAGCATCACTTAAAATAGTCTTTGACCTTAGAAAAAATAGAAAATGTGATACAAAGGTCAAGAGTGCTTAAGTATATCATCTATTTTTATTGATACTTTGTCATACCTTCTTCAGTTGGTGTTAACTTGAGAATTATCTAGTCATCGATTTCACTAAAATGTTCAATAAAACAAGAAAATGGGCATGTTGAGTACAGTAGGTTCTCAGCTTAAAGGCACATTGTGACTAGTTTGATCTTCAGTCCACACCAGTAAGTTTTTCCATGTCAGCAATAAGGCCATCACGTTTTCTTATAATTTAGTGTTCACTGGTGTAGCACTTTTAATTTCCTTCAACACTTTTTCTTACACAGATAACCCGCACATAGAAGAGAGGAGCTTATGACGACGTTTCAGTCCGACTTGGACCATTTACAAAGTCACACAGTGTGACTTTGTAAATGGCCCAAGTCGGACCGAAACGTCGTCGTAAGCTCCTCTCTTCTATGTGCGGGTTATTTGTGTATCGTTCCAGTCACGGTATTGTGTCTTTTTTTCTTACTTTCTCTTAGGGTTTATTGTAATACAGTACAGTTTTAGGTGGTGTAAGGGCTATGAACACCCTTAATAACCCACTTGTAATTGATAGGCTTTAAATCTAATAACCAGTCATATGTAAATACTGTCTGATGTTAATAGACCATTTATGGAAACCTGTGCATGTACCACAGTATGAGCTAGACAATAAGAGATTGTAATTTTGTCTCCTAGATATATTATAGTTAATCACATTATATTGTCTTGAGTATGGGTTTTGTTTTGCATGCATGTTTCAGTTTGTGTTTCCATTACAGCATATTAGTCACTTATTTCAGAAATTATATTTATTAACAGACTGGAACACTGACTGGCTAGGCATGCTACCTTCTTGAGAATCAGTGCAGATGCTTTAAAGGTATCAGAAGGCACTTACAAAAACTGAGTATGTTTCTTTGTACACTATACTATAAAATTAAGCTGCCACTTTTTATCCTATGTTTCACAAGTGTTATACTGTATTTGCACTTATACATGCTTTAAGGTAGTCTTAGATTGACAACTGAAAGTTATGTAACTTTTATTATTATTATTATTTTTACAAAGTGCTAAACTTGGGTCATGGTGAAAAAAGAAAAACATACACACTTGCAGAAAAAAAGCCGAGTTGAGATATCGTTTAGCTCTGTGTAGCTCATCATCAGGTCATATTAGGGAGGTAAGGTTCGTCAGGAAACAGGACAAATGTGTCCTGATGTGGGTCTTAGTCAGATGATGACGTGCCTTTGGAGCTTTGGTCATCTGACCGAGGCCTTCCGCTGGCTTACCAGTCCACCCCTTTAAAAATTATGGTCATTTAGAACCATGTAAGTTGGGGTGTCACTCAGGTCATATGTGGGTCACTCAACACAAGGAATAGTAGAGGCTCAATCCTCTTTCTGCTAAGTACAAGACAGATGTGCTACTGGCTACATGTACTTGTCTAAGTGCCCTCTACATACACAACATCTGGAAATTATTTTTTACTGTATTTTTAAGTTAAGTGCTGTATTGGAATTTAAAGTCAAGATTCCTTACTAATAAGACAGTAATACATATATGTACATATATAACTAAGATTTCTTTCTTTCTTTCTTTCAACAACCCGGCCGTATCCCACCGAGGCAGGGTGGCCCAAAAAGAAAAACAGAAGTTTCTCTTTTCAAATTTAGTAATTCATGCAGGAGAAGGGGTTACTAGCCCTTTGCTCCCGGCATTTTAGTCGCCTCTTACAACACGCATGGCTTACGGAGGACGAATTGTGTTCCACTTCCCCATGGAGATAAGAGGAAATAAACAAGAAAAAGAACTAGAAAGAAAATAGCAGAAAACCCAGAGGGGAGACGGCCGACTTGTTGAAAAAAAAAAAAAAACATGTATGAGTAGTGTGACCTAAGTGTAAGTAGAAGTAGCAAGACGTACCTGAAATCTTGCATGTTTATGAGACAGAAAAAAGGACACCAGCAATCCTACCATCATGTAAAAAAATTACAGGCTTTCGTTTTACACTCACTTGGCAGGACGGTAGTACATCCCTGGGTGGTTGCTGTCTACCAACCTACTACCTAGGATAACTTAAGATTTACTTTAGTTTATTTGGAGTTATCATGTTTTGTAATGTGGATGGAGTATAGCAAATACGTTTAATGGATACACATGTAGCAGAGCGAGCCATTATATTAGCCAATGTGTCACCTTTGCTAGTTTTATTGAGTCTACATAGCCTGGATAAAAATCTTACTGTGTGTTTTTCCATAAATAGTTTGTGGTGTACTCACTATTCGTTATGCTGATCATTTAGTCATTGCAGGGACTGTGGTCCTGTAACTGCACTTTCCTACTTTATTGTGATATACCCTATGTCATAAAAAAAAAGTACTAATAAAATTATTTGCAAAATGCATAAGAATGTGTTAGCTAAAAATTCAGTTATGCTGAATCAATTGATTATGTATTTAGAAAGACTGTGTGTCTGTTATTTTGAGTTTGTTTTAAAAAAGATGATTTTGAATGTTGGGGTAGAGGATGCTCCAAGATACTCATTTTACCCACAGCAAAACTATAGTAGGAAATATAATAGGTGTCCCCTTCAAGGGTGGGTGCCTTAATGCTTGTGAAGGGCTCTTCATCCAAGGAAATGAACCTACCCTCCCCATAACCCCTTTCACTGTCCATACCCCTGAAATTAATGTTGCTGCTTTGTGTTCATTGTGTTCATCCCCAGAACTAGTGTTAGAAACTTAGTTCACTCAATACCATTGAAATCTTGCTTACTGTAATGAAAAATTTGCATGCTTAATAAATTTATTAATATTTGGCAAATAAATACTGCTTTAGCAGTAATACATAGTTCAGGTATGGGTATCCTACCAATACAGTAACATAGTGCAGTTTGGAAATACTGTATAGCTATTCTAATTATAAATACTGTACTGTATAGTTATTCTAATTGTAGCCTTTACCAGAAGGGAGGTGCCTTATTGCCTGTGAAAAGCTTTTGATCCAAAGAATTGAAGTATTCTCCCTTTGGATCGAATCTGATTGCCTCCCATTTCTTAGGCAGTATATGGACTCTGAGTCTAGCACTCCTCATAAATGTAATTATAAATATTCTAACATAAGGCATTAACATGCATCAGGTGTGGTGGTGATGGGGGTCTACCACGGCACATCCCATCCGTAGTGTATGTTCAGGGCATGATGGTGGTGGCTTCAGTCTACCTGGTTCACTCCACTGCTTACAGCATCACACAAAAGGAAGGATTGCCATACATCAATCAGCTGTCAGCATGGACCTTACTAGGTAAGAAAACAATATTCTGACTCTCATTTTCCTTTTAAGCTGTTGGACTGTATTTATGTAAGGTGTATAGTTTAAGATTTTGTATATCCTAGCATTAATGTTTTGTTATTGATATTTTAGTTGTAGATTTATTTTACTGATGCTCATTGCCATTATTTATTTAATCATCATTAAACTTTGGTTTTCATGTGCTTTTAGCTTCCTTTAAAAGGCTTCTTTTTATATTATTATTATAATAATCAAGGGGGAAGCGCTAAACCCGGAGGATTATACAGCGCCTGGGGGGGGATGTGGAAGGCATTCAGGCTTAATTCGGGGAACTGGAGCACAGATCCAATTCCCTAAATCAAGAGCCCCTCACCAACATCAAGGAACCTTCCTTGAGGGGATATTTTTTTTTTTTTTTTTTTTATATATATATTTATGACAATAGTGCTTTAAACAATATACAGCTCAGTATGATTTTGGGGTCAGTGCATCTCAAGTTATTATATGTTATTGTAATAGTACATTTTAGTGAATAAAAGGTATTTCATTGTGGTTTATTTAGATGAACTACCACAATAAGTACAGTGTATCAGTTTTATCTCTAAAACACCAGATTTTTATCTTCTGCTTTTTAACTCGGAGACTTTTTTTCTTCCTTATGGAGTTCTCAAGCCACTGAGTGTAACAATATTTTTTGCATGAGGGACAACCCTGAGGAAGTGGCAGTTCTTGTGGCTCAATGAGCCAATCCCAGAAAGATGGTTTTCACACTTCAAAATGTGGTACTGTTTTCTGGAAATTGGATCTGATGAGCCACTATCAGAACACTGGTTTTCCATCTTTCTTGTTGAAATGTTTCGCCTACACAGTAGGCTTCTTCAGTCAAATACAGAGGCAGTAGGTGTTGTAGCGAAGTAAAGATGATATAATCAGTCTATCAACCTTGGAGAAATAGTATTTATTTGTGGTGGTCAGTCCCTCAGCCTGGAGAAGAGTTCAGTTCCATGAAAGAGTTAAATAGGGTGGGATTTTGAAGTGAACAGAGGTGTGTTAACAGCTTTTAACTTGTAATATGAGTAGTGTACAGTGTTTTTAATAGTGGGCCACATGACCAAAAATCCATTTGTGTGTGGTACATGAATTTTTATTGAAAATGACCCAGATTTTTAATGTAACTGTAGCAGAATTAAGCTTTAATAGCTCAGACTTGCATAATTCAATGGAGGATGTTACAGTTACTAAACAATTTAAGTCTAGTAGTGTAACACTTGACAAGAATCAGTTACAGAATGGTTGTGGTGAGAAGTTTAGGTCTTACCAGTCTTGTAGTTCAAACTGGCCCACAGACCACACTTTGGACACTCCTGATTTAGAGTAGTGCTAAAGCGTGGGCTTTAGTATAGATGTGAAATGTGGAGAGTTGTGCGAAGTGTGGTGTTTTGTATTTTATAGTAAAGAGAAGCTTACCAATAGAAACATTTAAAATGTTGGTTCATTTCAGTATATTGTGTGAATATACAGAGAATTAAGAAATTAGCACAAGATTGTTGATATAACAGGTATAATTCTGATAGTTCATTAAGAGTGATTAATAGCTTGATCATGTAGAATGAATGAAGCAAGATGGGTTGATATAGTAGGTGAATATGGGATGGATGGTGGGTGGAAGGTATGGAAGTAGTAGTACAGTATTCAGAGGAGGAACTTCAATACCCAGCTTTTTTTTTTTTTTATGACAGCCATCTCCCACCAAGGCAGGGTGACACAAAAAAGAAACTTTCACCATCATTCACACATAATTACTGTCTTTGTAGAGGCACCCAGATATGACATTCCAAAACAGGCAGTAACCTAAACCCCTCCTTTAAAGTGCAGGCATTGTACTTCTCACCTCCAGGACTAAAGTCTGGCTAACTAGTTTCCCTGAATCCCTTCACAAAATATTACCCTGCTCACACTCCAACAGCTTGTAAGGTTCCTTTTGGGACCTGACAAGCTGTCTCCATTCACTCCTATCTAATATGCTCATACATGCTTGCTGCATGTCCAGACCCCTTTCACACAAAACATCTTTTACCCCCTCCCTCCATCCTTCCTAGGATGACCCCCCTACCCCACCTCCCCTCAACTAGATTTATATACCCTCCAAGTCGATCTGTTTTGCTCCATCCTCTCTAAATGACCAAACCATCTCAAGAACCCCTCTTCAGCCCTCTGAACAATACTTTTAGTAACTCCACATCTCTTAATTTCAGCAGACATATGCAAGATAATTATTCCAGAGTAGATGAATCATCTATGGGATTTGAAGAGTTAGTCTAATTAGTAAATGATGCCAGCAACTCTCATAAAGAGGGGTTACAGTATATGAAGCAAGTCTTGATCCTGACACTATTTTGCTCAGTGTTGGGTTTTATCACTATTTGAGGTGCTGTTCAAGTTTTTATTATGTACAATAATTACTATAAAAGTACTCAGAACCTGGCTAAGTTTGAAACTTGCACTCTATAATTAGCAGAGGGATACTGCACACTTATGATCACATTGTCATTCTAGAAAGGGAGCTGGAGAGTGTGTGATAGTGAATGTGTTCTCTCCTTTCAATCACTGCCTTGCTGGGAAACATTCATTAACGTTAAAACAAAAACCAAATAATTTCAAATCTCCTGAGTGTTATTTTAATTGTAACTATTAGAGAATACTTTGTTGTTGGGGGACATCATTGTGGTGGTGGTTATGTAGAGAGATTTTTGACAAAATTGTCAGTGATTTACAACCTGTGATGTGAAATGAATTATGGATATAGATGGGACTGCAACTAATGGACTTAGAATACTGTAGTTTTAATCATTGTACATTTTAATTGATAATCACAATGCCAGTAAATTAATACATCATTAATCGTACACATCATTAATGTTAACATTGATAGCAAATAGTCATGATAGTTGATAACTGATAGTGATGTCAGCAAGTTTTTGTTTAAAGCACTGAAAAAAGGAAATGGTTCAAGCACTTAGTAAATCATACAGGTAAGTTCTTTGACTTTTTAGTAATTGAATACAGAAGAAGGGGTTACTATCCTATTGCTCCTGGCATTTTAACCACCTTTTATGACAAACATAGCTTGTGGGGGAAGAATTGTAATCTATATTTTCAAGAGCTAGGGCAGTGCTTGCCCTTTGGTTGGGTGGGGATGTTACAGAGTAATTTGATTGCAATGTAAGCATGCTTGTAGAAAAAACCAAACCATACCACGGGTGGGGATAGAACCCGCGATCAGTCATAAAACTCCAGACCGACGCGCTAGCCACTGGGCCAGCTGGCTACAATAAGATTCGTCCAACTAAGTATATTTATACATCATAGGAAGGTTAGCATAGGCACCACTGTGACCACAAATGCAAGTTCTTACAGACAAATTTCCCACCAGCGTGGCTGGGACTAGCTCTAACTCAAGTCCCCTTAAAGCCATCATCATGACTCACAAAATTGTAATGAAACGATTGCAAACAAACCATACCACGAGCGGGGATAGAACCCGCCTGTGGTATGGTTTATACACCATGGTATGGTTTGTTTGCAATCGTGTCATTACGATTTCATGAGTCATGATGACTGCTTTGAGGGGACTTGAGCTAGAGCTAGTCACGGCCATGCTGGCGAGAGATTTGTCTATGTAAACTTGTGGTCACAATGGTGCCTATGCTAACCTTCCTATGGTGTATAAATATACCTAGTTGGATGAATCTTATTGTAGCCAGCTGGCCCAGTGGCTACCGCATTGGTCTGGAATTTTAGACTCTCTGGTCGCGGGTTCTATCTCCACCCATGGTATGGTTCGTTTTCAATCGTGTCATTACGATTTTGTGAATCATGCTTCTGGAAAGACAAATGATGCTTTTTCTTTGGATCACCATGCTTCAGTGGGAGACGACCGTTTAGTTAAAAGAAAAAAGAAATTAATTCCATTAAATAAGTATTAACTATTGTGTGTGTTCTTATTTTTCAGCTCTTTCATTTATATTGCCTCTCTTTGGGTCAAGAAATGTTATGGGCCGCCTCCTCTCGGTGACTGCATCATTTCTCTGCCCATTCCTGCTGCTGTGCATTAGACATGAGGGATTTTTTTATATTGCCCTCAGTATTGCAATGTTCCTATGGCTGCTGTTAGAATTCTACCTTGCTGGTAACAATGTACAAGTAAGTTTTATCACCTCTGTTCGACCTTTATAGTGAACAATTTTACGATTATTGCAAATAGTGTAAACTTTAATAATTTAAATTTGTTTGATAGTGTTTATATTTTTAAACAGATTGCAATGCTCAAGTTTGCAACATGGGGCAGAGAGAGCAGCAAAGGCGGGGAGCGAGTCCTGGAGTGGTCAGATGTTCGCCGTGCATACTTTTTCGTATCCTTTTTTTCAATTTAATGTGTGGGTGGGTGGGGTTTGTGTACAGCATTTATCTGCTGTTAGAGGATTACAGCTAAATAACGTAAAGTTTCAAACATTTGTGCTGCTCTTGACTTCTTGGAGCTCAAACTTCCTACCTTCTACACTTAATCACAGTTGAACCTAGTAGTATGCAACCTCAAATTGTACATTTTTGTTTTAACATTGTCCAAGAAAATTGCCTTAAAATGAAGTAAACTGGAAAAAATTGGCATTACATCAAGGTAAATAATACACAGTGACATACAGGAAGGGGGAAAATAATAGGTACATACGTACCTTAACAGCAAACTGAAATACAATTTACATCCAGCTGAAAGTGAACATATATAAAAGTAAGGTGATAAGGGTGTCAAACGAGTTTGGTAAGAAAAAATTGGATATTTGGGAGAGAAGGAGTATTGAAGAAGTGAATGTGTTCGGATATTTGGGAGTGGACATGTCAGAGGATTTGTTTATGAAAGATGAGGTAAACCATAGAATTGATGAAGGAAAAAAGGTGGGTGGTACACTGAGGTATCTGTGGAGACAAAGAACATTATCCATGGAGGCAAAGAGAAGAATGTATGGGTGTGAATATTGCAGCGAGTTGAAGGTTGGAGGCATTGATGTCTTAGATCAAAAGTGTGGCGTAAATATTTTGCAGAGAATTCATAGTTTGGAGACTAGGAGGTACAGTTACTAAAAGTATTAACCAAAGGGCTGATGAGGTATTGTTGAGGTGGCTTGGTCATTTGAAGAGGATGGAGCAAAATAGGATGACTTGGAGGGTGTATAAATCTGTTGTGGAGGGAAGGTAGAGTAGAGGTTGTCCTAGGAAAGGATGGAGGGAGGAAGGGCAAAAGAGGTTTTGTGTGTAAGGGGCTTGGACAAAATAGTTTGTTAAAATTATCATTAATTTTATTTACTTTTAGCTAATCAGTGTTGAGCAGTTGTAATTTTTAGTTTGTCTTCTCTAAAATTTAATGCATACCTTTGGATTATTACATGTACGTATATAGCTGTTTATGTAAGATGACCAATAGCACAGATGTATCTTGGAAAATACACATTTTATTTTTACTGTCACCCATATTTCTGCCCGCAGTATTTATACTCAGAATTGTCCATACAATTTTGTATACCTGGAGAGAGTTTTGGGGGGTCAATGCCCCCGTGGCCCAGTCTGTCACCAGGCCTCGTGGTGGATCAGGGCCTGATCAATCAGGCTGTTACTGTTGGCCGTACACAACCCAACGTACAAACCACAGCCCGGCTGGTCAGGTACTGACTTTAGGTGCCTGTCCAGCACCTTCTTGAAGACAGCCAGGGGTCCATTGGTAATCCCCCTTATGTATGCTGGGAGGCAGTTGAACAGTCTTGGGCCTCTGGCACTTATTGTGTTCTCTCTTATTGTGCTGGTGGCATCCCTGCTTTTCATTGGGGGGATGTTGCATCAACTGCTCTGTCTTTTGCTTTCATAGGGAGTGATTTTCGTGTGCAAGTTTGGTAATCCCTCTAGGATTTTCCAAGTGTATATAATCACGTATCTCTCCCACCTGTGTTCTAGGGAGTACAGGTTGAGGAATTTTAAGTATTCCCAGTAATTGAGGTGTTTTATCACAGTTGTGTGCTGTGAAGGTTCTCTGTACATTTTCTAGGTCAGCAGTTTCACTTGCCTTGAAAGGTGCTGTATTACTATCTCCATATTACCACTTTTTTTATTTATATATTTAAAACAATCATTACAGTTAGTAATCTTAAGATAGCTTAATTATTTTAAACTTAGCACTCAAATTATCTAACTTCGTCTATAAAAACCATATAATGATAAAGAAGACATGTGCAGCTTATATGCACCTTTATTCTCCAGATATTTCACCAACCAGTGGCTTTATCATTTCAATACAGAGGTTAACGGAATGTGTAGAAACTGGAGACAGAAGTAATCATTCTCTCAGCTTAGGTGGTGTTCACCATTGGTAGGAAGGCCAGAAGTTGGCAAACAGGTTGAAGGTATTTACTGTACCAAGATTCCATAGTGTTGCTGCATTTCCAGGTATAATAGCTATGGTACACTAACAAAAAGTTGATAAATAAGACACGTGCAACACCTGAGTATTCTGAAGACATTTTGCCAACCAGTGGATTTATCAGTTTAATATAGTCTTCAGCTGCTGCACCTCATCTGATTCCTATATAAGCAACCATCTTCCTGCCTATGCTTCATATTCAACACTATGGTGGTAAACCATCTAGGCTGAAGGACCGATTACCTCGTCTTCTGTCTCCATTTTCTACATTTTTAATTAACTTCTGTACTGATAAGGCCACTGGTTGGCAAAATGTCTAAAAAAAACTAGATACCCAGATGTTACATGTCTTATTGTCAGCAGTGTATACTGTTACTGCTGCTACAACTATGTCAAGCACAGGAGGGCCCCACTTTACAGTGCTTCGCTTTCTAGCATTTCACTAGTACAGCAGTTTTCAATTATACCCATTCTTCATTTATTCAAGACTTCCTACAATAAATACATTCACTCTAAGCTAAGGATGAAAGTATTTTAAAATGTGTGTAATGTATATGCATTTTTTATGCTTAGCTCTATTGCTTATTTAATATATGATAGTGTAAACATGTTATCAGGCCTTTTTTTTTTTTTTTTTTTTTTTTTTTTTTTTTTTTATTATCACACTGGCCGATTCCCACCAAGGCCGGGTGGCCCGAAAAAGAAAAACTTTCACCATCATTCACTCCATCACTGTCTTGCCAGAAGGGTGCTTTACACTACAGTTTTTAAACTGCAACATTAACACCCCTCCTTCAGAGTGCAGGCACTGTACTTCCCATCTCCAGGACTCAAGTCCAGCCTGCTGGTTTCCCTGAACCCCTTTTGTATGATTTTATATGCATTTGAAAGTGAAAAAAAAAAAAGGCTGTTTCACTCTACAGAGATTTTCACTTTACAGCAGTAGCCTGGAACCTGACCTGACTTATATGATTGGGGCCTGCCTGTACTATAGTTTTAAGTTCATCTGCCAAAAGTACTCTGCATTACCAAGAACTTTCCAAAATAAGTCAATTTTCTGACAGTGTAGTAGTAAACTGAAGTCTGGTCTCATCAGAGTATAAGGTTTAATATACCTTTGATGAGTTTCGAGTCTACTTTCAAGAGCTTGGCCACAGGCCAGGTTCTTGTGACAATTTTAGCACCATTACTGTTTCTCATCCTCATAACTGACATGCATAAAAATACTAACCATCACTCTGTCATCTTTTACACATACCAGAACAAGTTAACTTGTATAATTTTAGTTTTTATTTTAGAAATACGGTAGTTGTAGCCAAAATGCTGTGTAGACTGTGGAGTTTGCAGTAGTACTGTATGTGTGTCATACTGCTTAAAGTTGTTAGTGTTAAATTTGTAAAGCTAGTCATGATCATATTGTCATTTATATTTAACTATTTTTAGTCATTTTATACAATTGCTATATCCTTAACTCTGGTACCAGCTGTTCTTTACTGTGCTAGCCTTCTTTGGCACTGGCAACATAGCTAGTGTCAATAGCTTTGATCCCAGCTTTGTCTACTGCTTTATCACAGTTTTCTCTCCATTTATCATGGGCAGCTTGCTGCTTTTCAAGATCATTATCCCATTCCTTCTGGTCACCTGCTTTTTCCATGCTATCTGCACACTTATCGAGGTAAGCAAGAGGAGTTTACTTACATGTTGTTTTGATTAATTTTAAATGTTGCAGTCATGTGCACCAAGCCATCAGTAGGTGAAGCCCTAACTAGTCACTTCGTGGATTGTTTGAATGCAAAATATGGTAGAACTTCAGAGATAAGCTGACGCTAGTCAACTTTCAGAGATAAAATACAGTGGACCCCCGCCTTATGATGGGATCGCATTACGTTAAATCCGCCATACAATACATTTTAACGCAAAAATTTTGCCTCGCCTCATGCGATTCGTCCAGGACGCATCCCACGCGTGGCCTCAGCTGCCCCATGCGTGCCAGTGTTTACAAGCCAGCCAGTGCGGTGGAATCCACGCATACATTCGGTACATTTCATATTATCGCAGTGTTTTTAGTGATTGTAGCTGCAAGATAAGTCACCATGGGCCCCAAGAAAGCTTCTAGCGCCAACCCTGCAGGAAAAAGAGTGAAAATTACTATGAAAATGAAGAGAGAGAATTGCTAAGTACGAAAGTGGAGTGCATGTCTCGGAGCTGGCCAGGTTGTATACCAAACCCCAATCAACCATCGCTACTATCGTGGCCAACAAAACAGCAGTCAAGGAAGCTGTTCTTGGAAAAGGTGCAAGTTTATTTTCGAAACAGAGATTACAAGTGATAGAAGATGGGTTGAACTGCAAACCTTTGCGGATGAAAATCACCCTGAAACGGCTATTGCAAGCCGTGCTGGTGACTATTACAATGACACTGTTATGGCCCATTTTAGGAAAGTCTTGAAGGAATGGGAGGTACAGACCTCTATGGACAGATTTATTGTGCGACAGAGGTCCAGTGACTCTCAAGCTGGTCCTAGTGGCATTAAAAGAAGGGAAGTAACTCCGGGAAAGGATTTGATACCTCAAGTCCTAATGGAAGGGGATTCCCCTTCTAAACAATAACTTCCACACACTCCCCTCCTCCCATCCCATCAATCATCCCCAGATCTTCAATAAAGGCAAGTGTCATGTATTTTATTCTTAGTAGAGTAGTAATTGTGCATGTCTTCTTCAGTTTGTGTTTATTAAAATTAATATTTCATGTGGTAAAATTTTTTTTTTTTTCATACTTTGGGGTGTCTTGCACGGATTAATTTGATTTCCATTATTTCTTATGGGGAAAATTAATTCGCCTTACGATAATTTCGGCTTATGACGAGCTCTGTTACGGATTAATATCGTAAGGCGGGGGTCCACTGTACTGGATAGACATTTTTTGCACTTTATTCACCAAGTGTAATTTTATTACATCTGCTCAATATTTGTTAAATATATTAAACACACCTGTGTGTTTCAGTAGTAGGTGATGTGACAGGCAAATATTGCTTATATCAAGTCAGTTCTTGTGAACAGATTTTTTAGATAAGATCCATAGTCAGTATTGTATGACTTTGTAACTACACTACTAGAAACATCCAAACATGACTGTAGATGAAATGATTAGACCACCCTAGAGCTAAGAAAAAGAATCGGAGGAATTTTTTTTCATTAGCGTTGCTCGATAAATACAGTATACTGTACTTTTCATTCATAGTGTATAATTATTATAATGGGGGGAGCACTAAACCTGTAGGATTATACAGTGCCTGTGGGGAAGGGATGATGGCTGGTATTCAGGCTCAATGTAGGGAACCAGAGATCTAATTCCCTAGATCAAGAGCCCCTCACCAGCATCGAGGAACCTCCCTTGAGAGGACATTCATAGTGTAATTAAAGCATTATATTATGAGGATAAGTGTTTATATGGGGTTGAAGCAATTGTTTGTTTTGCAGATACCAACTCGTGCACTCTTCTACATGTTCCTGGTGATGTCTGACTTCATGGCTCTTCACTTTTTCTTTCTCATTAGAACAGAAGGCTCATGGCTGGATATTGGCACATCGCTCAGCCATTATGTTATTTCCATGTCAACTACATTGTTTCTCATAGTCCTTCTCTTTATAGCTAGATTTGTCACAACTTTCAATATTGAAAAAAGCGCCAAAGAAGGCGATTGTGTCCTACCGAGAGTATCAATTGGCCGGCCACACCGAGATTAATACACGAAAAGATATCCATGATTGCTGGTCTTTGTTTGACTTGTGAATATGAAAGAATTGTTTTTTTTACTCAAACACTTTCATTCAGTATACATTTTTTAATGTTTTTTTTTAATTGTACAAGTGTTCTTATTCCTGTAAGGTTGTCTCAGATTAGACCTCAAATATTATGAGGTCTAGTCAGACTGCCACAGGGGCAATGGACCCCAGGTATACTTTTCATTTATTGAATTACTCTTACATAAATTTTTAAATAATTTCAACATTACTCTGTACTCTTGCTATTGTAAACCTTGACTACTGGATCTCCTGTAATTCTGCTAGTGATTATTAGAATAGTAGCAAGTGGTAAAACTTTGGTGTGTATGTAGGCATTTGTTGTACAGTCAGAGATGTATCCTTGTATTCCATAAGCCCATCTGCATTGGCCTCAACTTGTGCAAAAATAGTGCAAGGCAGGCATAATCTTATGCAGAGGCATATATATGCATTATTCATGTATGCATTTGCATAAAATGTATGCATGTGTCCATTTTTTACACTTTGCATATAGATATATTCTTATGCACGTGTTAATGTATACTTGTGTGTGTGAAATTTAGGCAATCACTCGGCCAGTGATTCTTGAAGTTAAAAAGGAATTTTTAAAGGGGCAGTTTTTTTAGAGGGTTTATTCTCCCATTTATATACCTAGAAACCTAGACTTAATCTTTCACTTGCACAAGATATGCCAATCTGAAAAGACACAGTACAAGTTTTTGTTAAACCTACAATAATTATCTCCTAAATGGCTTAAAGTACATGAAGATAGACATGGTGCAGGTTAGAACTCTTTTTTAAAGCCTAATTTTTTGAAGTGGTTCAGAATTTTTTTTTTATTGGTAACATTAGCAAATTAGTTTGGTGAAACAAACCAGAAAGGGCTATACACTGCTGAATGGATTATATATGCTCTTAATTCATACAATGGTAACTTTAAATTTTCTGTACAGTATCTCAAGTTGCTGGCAAAAGACATTTGATTCAGGGTAGGATACTTTCCCTGCACACTACAAGTTTGAAGACATGTTTACTGAGAGGGAACTTTCATCAGCAAGCAAGAGAAATTTGCACCTGCCTTTTGACACTGAAGGATTGTTATAGCCTACTTTTGTGTGCTAATGTATTGGTCAGTTTTTAAGTGCAAGCTTATGCTTATTTAGCACTTCCAAAATTCCTGTACTTTAAAAGTTAGATATATAAGTACACTGTTATTTGGGAGTCTAACCATATAGCACAGATGAGCGAGGCCTAGTTTATCGAGTGGTTCGAGGATTATTCCACCAAAGTGTACCTGGCTAGGAAAAAAAAAACTTTCATTCAAGGTTCTCGCTATAATTCCTGTAATCATCCTCTTGCAGGATGTGAAGGTTATGCTTACCACTAAATATAACATCCTTGATACTACCACTGGTTCAAGGAAATGATTAGACATTTAAGTGTTACTAAACATGTGGAATAATGCACAAACTTTTCACAGCAGTGGATGACAACTGATAATGGAGTGCCAGAGTTCTGACAAATTTAGCACTGTTTGGCACAGGGCTGCAGATGCAATAACCAACAAAAAATTGCCTGGGATCAAGTGTCCCATCCGGCAATCTGCTATGAAGCAGTCTGGACCAAGTAGTGACACCTTATAAAGTACTGCTGGGTAAAAAACCAGTAGACAATAGAATATCCGAAGACTCCAGCAACAACTCGGCATGAACAACAGCCATCCACCCTGACACTGTAGGGCCACAACAACCCTCTCCCCTGACATCTATAAAATACATTCATCAGAAACCATAATTTAGGGCACAGCAAGAATTTGTTTTCTTACACGTAATCATGTTCATTGTTTAATTTTATTGGGTTATCCTATTTAAATCTACATATTTTTGTGACCATAAATTGTGTATGCTCTCAGGACAGTACTATATCAACAAGCAATGACATTTACAGCGAGATTTCAAAAAACCTATTTTTGATGAAACTTCTTAATATTTGACTTTGGGAGGAGTAAAGAACAATCCTTTTTTTTTTTTTTCCAAAAAATGTGTCCCTCACACCATGAGTTGGTTTTATTAAAAGTGCCGATTTCAGAAACTTGACCTATGCAAATTATGAGTCTGCTATGTAACATTCACCTGCAAATCTTGGTAGCTTGAGCTTTGCCATGGTTTCAGCACACCAGTGACAATTTTAAGCCAATCTGATGAGGCCTTATTATTATATTTAGGAGGGGAATGATAAACCTATAGAGGTTACACCTGTGCCTGGGGAATGGGAGGCATGCAAATTTAAATAAAGCTGTATGGTATACTAAAAAATCTTTGGAGGAAGCACAAAGTATCCCTTTGGAGATACCTAATATGTACAAATTTAATGCTTATGAAATAAATTAAGCACTAAACCTAAAGGCATCTTACAACAATGTTTATGTAAGAATTCTGAAGCATTGAAATGTTAAATTTTATTTGTGTGCATTTTAAAAATGGCATTCTTCACCACAGATTACCTACTCTCGGATATTACTCTTAAATTATAAAATGAACCGATACTATTAAAATATAGCTAATCAACTTTTTTTTTTTTTCCCCCTTTTCTAGCTTTCTCAAACTTTTTAAATGTATGGCAAAATTACTTGTAAAGAGTGAACCTTTATCAAGAGATTTTACTCTGGGTAGAACTTTGTCAAATCATAAAAGGAGTAATGTCTAAATATTATTTAAGTGTATGACAAGTTATGAAGTGGATAGCTGTTACAACCTTATGACAACAGAGTACACTGATTTCAAGGGTGTCTTATAAAAGGGCCTTCCCAAGTTTAGCAAGTCATGTTGTGTATAAAAAATATCGTATGACGAAATGCTATTAACCCAGGTCTTCCAAGTGCTATTTTTGTGGGTGTGAGAATTCACAAATTGCACGACTGCAATCTCAACCGTTTCAGGGTCCAGACCCCCAATCAAACTTTTTCTTAATGTCCAAAAACTCCTCTCCCCCTCCCCCCCCCCAAAAAAAAAAAAAATTCTTATGAAATATTACCTTTGGGAAAAAGACTAACACCAAAAATAGGAAATTATATGGAAAACTTAGAGAATTACACTGGTACAGTCAGTGGTCTTGGTGCAATTTACACACCAATGATTTAAACCATGGAGTCCCAGTCAACCAAATTCTTAGCTATTTTGCTAGTATACCTTTCATTCTATGGATCGAGCACAAGGAAACACCCATTCAACTATTTTAACTACCCAATGAAGTGATCAGAATGGGATTCTGGGAACCCAGTTAGCTGGGCTTTAATCCTGGAACTGTAAAGTACAGTGCCTGCACTCTGAAGGAGAGGTAGGGATATTTGCAGTTTTGAACTGTAGTATTGGCATGTTTCTGGTAAGACAGTGATGAATGAATTTCTTTTTCAAGTCACTCTGCATCGGTGGGACACGACCAGTTAAAAAAAAAAAAAAAAAAAAAGGTTAAATAAAAAGTACATTTGACAAGATTTTATGCTTCAATGGGGATGTTATGAAGTAATACATACAGTATAATAGTGCATGTTGCCAAAGGAAAGAAAACATTCGTAATGTTGGCCAAAAAAAAAAAAAAATATAAAACAAAAGTTTTCTTACACTAAAAATTCCAGCTCTATTTTCCATTAGTTTACAATTTGAATGACAACCAGTTAACTAAACAGTTCTTTATTAATTGGTTTAAATACTAAAATAGCAATGCTTTATTTTTCAATATTTGTAGTAACAGCAGTAAAAAAAGGTCAATGTACTAAATTGAATGATTAAATTCTCTAGCCATTTACAATTTAATTGTGAAATCACAGCAACTATTAGGCATTGACAGTTACATATACAGTAACTGGGAACGGGGCACATATTTTAGAAATCACGGCGATGATACCTATCTGGGTCAAAGTAAGAAGTCACAACTACCCGGTTTGCAAACTTGCGCCCAGTAAGGTTCTGCTGTGCTTTCTGACAATCCAGTACAGAATTAAATTCTACAAAAACCTTGCCAACCCCCGGAACCTCAACTCCTTCAACAGGTCGTGGAATTTCAACTGATCGCACTATCCCATATCTGCTGCATTCTTCACGTATATCCTCAAGAATATCTTCGTATTCTTCATCATCTTTCAACTCATCTGGCATTACCTGAAGAAAGAAATAGGTGTAAAATGATTTGATTTAAAAAGTACTCATTAACCAAACATGATTCTAAAACATGGAATATGTTATTCATGCCATACATAATTAATCTGAATCTTTACGAGGTGCTTCCTAATGCTCTTTTTTTTTTTTTTAATGTTATGTTAAAAGATCATAGACTATTACACAAACTGGTGCTCTGGTATAACTACCTTTCTAACCTTCAGATGCCGTCTTGATGAAATGACCTACGTATACATTCCAAACAAACCCTTCCTTTGATACCCGACTTTAACACAATGTCAATGTTCTAATTTGTAGAACACTCATGACCTGATCTTTGCCTTCTCACTTTCTCTTGACCAATCTTCTGGATTCTATGCACTTCTGTTTTCTTATTTTTTTTTTTTCATAAGATGGGCCATTAGGCCTACTGCTGTGCTCCACTTGACTACCACATCCCTAAAGGATTGTGGTAGAGCATGTGGTGTCCTGCTTCTCCATGACCTTAAAATGTAATCTGCTATTATCATTATTTCTATTACTGCTTTTCCCCCCCCCCCCTTTCCCACCTGTCTTCTAGTCTTGCGTGTATTTTTTTTTTCCTCTCACTCAATTTTAACTTGATTGTGCTCCAGGACAAACCAAACATACAAAAGTTCTTGAAATATGAGCGAATACTAAAAACCTGGTATAAAAGCCACCATCAGCAACAACAAATAACCCCATCAGCCAATAATAGGAGTTTAGTAAATTTAATTTCAACAATCTAAGAATCAACCACAATGAAATTAGCAATGAACAAACATTCCATAGGAGACCATTGTGTAGAATATATGGAAAAGCTGAATGCATTTCAGAAGCACTCAAGGTTTATTTAAAATATATTTCTCTAAGAAAGCCTTAAAAAAAAAATATCACAAGATACACTTTACAACAAGAAATTGCAATCCTATCAGATAATTTCTTCACTAACTGCCCAACCTACAAATTCCACACAGACCATCAATTAGAACAATTAGATTGAATGATTGTTATAGCATGACAAGTATAGTCCTTGTGGCTTAGCGCTTCTTTTTGATTATAATAATAATAGCATGACAAAAAAATATAGATGGAGTAGTAAGAGAAGTGAATGTTCGGGTGTTGGCAAGAGGTGTGGGGCTAAAAGATAAAGAATCTAACACAAAGTGGGAGTTGTCACAGTTGCTTTGCTGATGACACTGCCTTTGGGAGATTCTGAAGAGAAGTTGCAGAGGTTGGTTGATGAGTTTGGTAGGGTATGTAAAAGGAAGTAAGTTAAAAGTGAATACAGGAAAGAGTATGGCAATGAGGATAACAAAAAAAAATTAGGTAATGGAAGATTGGATATTAGATTGGAGGGAGAGTATGGAGGAGGTGAATGTGTTCAGATATTTGGGAGTGGAGATGTCAGCAGGTGGGTCTGAAGGATGAGGTGAATCACAGAATTGATGACGGGAAAAAGGCGAGTAGTACACTGAAGAGTCTGTGGAGACAAAGAACTTTATCCATGAAAGCAAAGAGAGGAATGTATGAGAATATAGTTATACCAATGCTCTTGTATGGGTGAAGCATGGGTTGTGAATGTTGCAACAAGGAGACTGGAGGCAGTGGAGATGTCATGTCTGAGGGCAATGTGTGGTGAATATATAATGCAGGGAATCCATAGTTTGGAGATTAGGAGGTGTGAGATTACCAAAACTATTATCCAGAGAGCTGAGGAGGTGTTATTGAGATGGTTTGGACATGTAGAGAGGGTGGAACTAAATAGAATGACAGTATACAAATCTGTAGTGGAGGGAAGGAGGAGTAGGGGTCGGCCTAGGAAAGGTTGGAGGGCGGGGGTAAAGGAGGTTTTGTGTGCAATGGGCTTGGACTTCCAGGAAGCCTGTGAGCGTATTAGACAGGAGTGAATGGAGACATGGTTTTTAGGACTTGACGTGCTGGAGTGTAAGCAGGGTAACATTTATGAAGGGATTCAGGGAAACCGGCAGGCCAGACTATAGTCCTGGAGATGGGAAGTACAGAGTCTGCACTCTGAAGGTGGGGTGTTAATGTTGCAGATTTATAACTGTAGTGTAGGCATGCCTCTGGCAAGACAGTGATGGAGTGAATCAAGACAAGTTTCTTTTTCAGGCCACCCTGCCTTGGTGGGAAACGGCCAATGTGTTAAAAAAAAAAATTATTATTATTATTATTATTATTAACACATTGGCCGTCTCCCGAGGCAGGGTGACCCAAAAAAGAAAGAAAATCCCCAAAAAGAAAATGCTTTCATCATCATTCAACACTTTCACCACACTCACACATAATCACTTTTTGCAGAGGTGCTCAGAATACAACAGTTTAGAAGCATATACGTATAAAGATACACAACATATCCCTCCAAACTGCCAATATCCCAAACCCCTCCTTTAAAGTGCAGGCATTGTACTTCCCATTTCCAGGACTCAAGTCTGACTATATGAAAATAACCGGTTTCCCTGAATTTTTTATTTTTTATTATCACACTGGCCGATTCCCACCAAGGCAGGGTGGCCCGAAAAAGAAAAACTTTCACCATCATTCACTCCATCACTGTCTTGCCAGAATCCCTTCACTAAATATTACCCTGCTCACACTCCAACAGATCATCAGGTCCCAAGTACCATTCGTCTCCATTCACTCCTATCTAACACGCTCATGCATGCTTGCTGGAAGTCCAAGCCCCTTGCCCACAAAACCTCCTTTACCCTCTCTCTCCAACCCTTTCGAAGATGACCCCTACCTCGCCTTCCTTCCCCTATAGATTTATATGCTTTCCATGTCATTCTACTTTGATCCATTCTCTCTAAATGACCAAACCACCTCAACAACCCCTCTTCTGCCCTCTGACTAATACTTTTATTAACTCCACACCTTTTCCTAATTTCCACACTCTGAATTTTCTGCATAGTATTTACACCACACATTGCCCTTAGACAGGACATCTCCACTGCCTCCAACCGTCTCCTCGCTGCTGTATTTACCACCCAAGATTCACACCCATATAAGAGTGTTGGTACTACTATACTTTCATACATTCCTTTCTTTGCCTCCATAGATAACGTTTTTTGACTCCACATATACCTCAATGCACCACTCACCTTTTTTCCCTCATCAATTCTATGATTAACCTCATCCTTCATAAATCCATCCGCCGACATGTCAACTCCCAAGTATCTGAAAACATTTACTTCTTCCATACTCCTCCTCCCCAATTTGATATCCAATTTTTCTTTATCTAAATCATTTGATACCCTCATCACCTTACTCTTTTCTATGTTCACTTTCAACTTTCTACCTTTACACATTACATATTAAATATATCTGTCAGGTACAATTTTCTAACCCCATAATGGCTTTTCTAACCACAGGGGCCACATTCTATATTTAAATCTAGGGAAAGCATTAAACCCATAAGGGTTATATAGAGCCTAGGAGGCATTGCGTTATTCAGACTATCTAGCTCCTTAGTAATTAACCCTTTCAGGGTCCGTCCCGTAGATCTACGGCTGGTCGGTGAGTGTCCAAACCGTAGATCTACGCCAAAATTCTAGCGCCGTCAAATTTAGCGCGAAAGAGCTCATAGGCCTACATATGAGAGAATGGGTCTGCGCGGTGGGTGTGCGCCGTAAACAAAAAATCTAGGCGCCTGCATAGCATTGTGGGAACGCCGGCTCAGTTACCCTTGTTCACCATGTCTCGTCGCAAGTCAGCTCTCACTCCCCGGAAAATTGGGACTCTCCTCTTCCTGTCTGATAGTTCTGACACTGATGGAAGTGGAAATGAAGACGAATTCTACGGCTTTGATGAGTTAGTGACCGAAAATAATGACCAGGATATCGATAATAGTGCAGAAAACCCCGACGATCCTCGACCTTCTACCTCTGGTGTGGGCACTCGTGACTCACGGTCGGTTGTTCCTAAACGTAAGAGAAAACTAATATTTTCCCGTGGCCTGGCCTCTGACTTCAGTAATGACGATGATTCTGACGTGGATTGTGATTTTATTGCGCTCGACGATCATTCGAGTAGTGATAGTGAGGAAACATATTCACCAGTGAAGCGTCGGTATGTGCGCCGCCGCATGCGCTCGGGTAGTGTACCCTATGCTATGCCCAGGGGACGGAGTACATCCCGTGGCCCTACACCCGTTTTAGGTAGTGATAGTGAGGATGATGTGGCTACACTTGGCATGGATGGGCCACAGACATCAGTGGATGGTGTTAGTGGGGCTGGTGGTGGTAGTGGCACCGCCATGCGTGACTCGCTGTGCCACGCGGGAACCCACGCTGCTGACTCGTCAGTTCAAGGACAAAGCGGAGCGTCACCCACCAGCCCGCCACAACCACCCGTACAACCAGCCTATGATGTCCAGTATCCACCAGCAAACCGTATCTGGGATTGGCAGCAAAATCCCAATTTTGTTCCCAGCCCTCACACTTTGATGACTCGCCAAAGTGGAATTCTACCTACACTGTCCCTTGGAACCACGGCCAATGAACTGGAATTCTTTGAATTATTCTTTGACCAGCCATTGATGGAAACTATTGTCAGGGAAAGTTAATAAGTATTTTCAGTACACCATGGCAATACGATCTTATCACCACAGTCAAGACTACACAGGTGGAAAGAGACGACTGTTGCAGAAATGTATTTGCTTTTTGCAACAATAATGCTTATGCCTTCACGTCTATAAGCATAATATAAAAGCATACTGGTCCACAGATCGGCTTAATTTGTACCCCATCCTTCAGTGAAATAATACCAGTGAACAGGTTTATCTTCTCTTACGTATGTTGCACTTCTCTGACAAAACCAGGCCTGACAGAAGTGACAGGTTATACAAGATTAGAAATGTTTTCATGTATCTCAAACAAAAGTTCAGGATGTATTTTATCCATTCAAGAATTTGTAATTGACGAGTCTTTGATTTTGTTCAAAGGTAGACTGTCATTCAAGCAGTATATTACCGAGCAAGAGGAACCGCTTTGGTATAAAAATTGTTTGTACTCTGTGATTGTGACAGTGGCCTGGTGTTGGATATTGTTGTATACACGGGTAGTAAAACATTGAAAGATACCAAGATGTTATTGGGTATATCAGGTGACGTAGTGAGAAACATGATGGCACCTTATCTTGGTAAGGGCCATACATTATATACCGATAAACTGGTACACAAGCCCATTACTCAGTGATTTCATGCGACGTGAACAAGACAGATGTGTGTGGCACAGTGCGTTCTAATCGTAAAAATATGCCCAGGCTCAACGCAGGTGTTCGTGGTGATGACGTGCAGGTGTTTACTGCCAATGACATCATGGCATTACGGTGGCATGACAAACGAGATGTCACATTGTTACAACCATTCACCGTAATGAAATGCAAGACAGTGGCAAAGTTGATCGAGTGACTAATGAACGTATTCGAAAAACCAGTGACAGTGATTGATTTATACACAAAACATGCGCTTGGTTGACAAAGTGTGACATGCAGATTGGTTTTGTTGACTGTGTTCGTAAGAGTTACAAGTGGTACATGAAACTTTTCTTCCATCTCATGGACATTTCAATGCTGAATGCATATAATATGTACCAAATAAAGACTGGTAACAGACCACCGTATGGTGAATTTTGTTTGTCTGTTGTCAGACAACTCATAATGAAGTACCAGGTAACAACACCTGCAATACAAACATGGTCCTCGAATTCATCACAATATACCCAAGCGTTTGAGAAGAGAAGGTGATCATTTCATAATACAGCTTCCTTCAACTCAAAGAAATTTGCTCAGAAGAGATGCATTGTCTGTGCACAAACTAAAACGACGGCAACAAAGACGCAAAGACACTCGGTTTATGTGTGAGGAATGTAAGGTGCCTCTGTGCATGGTGCCTTGTTTCAAGGAGTTCCACAAGCTCCAGCAGTTCTAAAACCATGTCAGTGATTGTAAATATGTAAATATAATGATAGAACATTAGTATTATACAATATTTGTGCATGTTTAATTGTAATAAACAAACAGTGGTAATACAATATATGATAATAACTTTTAGTGCGGTTATTGTGTTCAATACAGTGAGTTTATATATATAAATTATATACAGTATTGGTCTCTCAGGCCCCAAATGTTAGTAGGAATAGAAAAAAATTGGGAAAAGAAAAGAAAAAACAACTAAAAACAACAAATAATATAATACGCGTATGTGGAATTCGTCGATGTTGCCGCCACCACATCATTTTCTACAAACTTCTTGGCACTGTATCTCGGTAAGTACTGATCAGATTCTAATTTTTTTTGTTTTATTACCTTCACAAAAATATGCTCTTTAATTCTGTAAGAAAAAATAATTTTTTTTTTTTTCAAAATTTCTTGGACACTGGTGCGTGACTTCAGATTTTGGCCTTGGACCCTGAAAGGGTTAAGAGCTCCTCACCAGCATGAGCATGGAAATCACAGCCAGTCATCAATTGAAGGCAAAAACCAGGTAGACACTGCTGGAACCAGATTACAACTAATGATAAATACAGTGGAACCTTGGCTTACGAATGCCCCACCATGCGAATTTTTCAGGATAAGAAGTCACTCGATTGATTTTTTGCTTTGGTGGGAGACGGCCAACTTGTTAAAAAAAAAAAAATAAATAAGAAAAAAATTCAGGATGCGAACTTCCCCCTCAAGGGAGGTTCCTTGGTGAGGGGCTCTTGATCAAGGGAATTATATCTGTGCTCCACTTCCCTAAATTAATAATTATTATTATAATACATACGTATACTAATAATAATACACTGTAGCAGGCCTGTTGGCCCATACTAGGCAGGTTCTTCACAATCCATCCCACTAACAGAATATTTGCCCAACTCAATTTCCAATGCTACCCAAGCAATAAGCTTTGATAATTCTGTTTACTCATGTGCAAATCCCACTCACATCCAACCCCTCTCACTCGTGCATTTATCCAACACAAATTTGCAACTACCCAAGGTTTCAGCCTCAATAACAATACTAGGTAGATTGTTCCACTCATCAACATAAGAACATAAGAAAGGAGGAACACTGCAGTAGGCCTGTTGGCCCATACTTGGCAGGTCCTTCACAAATCCAGCCTAACAGAATAAACGCTATCCAAGCAATAAGCTTTAAAAATCCTATTTACTCACGTGCAAGTTGCACTCAAATTCAACCCCTCTCACTCGTGTATTTATCCAACCTAAATTTGAAACTATCCAAGGTTTTAGCTTTGACAGAACCTTGAGTAGCTTTAAAGAGAGATTGGACAAATATACGAGTTGGAGGGAATGGGTATGGTGTCGTGGGTACATAATAACATTAGAAAGGAGGAACGCTGCAGTAGGCCTGTTGGCCCATGCTAGGCAGGTCCTTCACAGATCCAACCCACTAACAATAAACGTACCCAAGCAATAAACGTTGACAATTCTATTTACTCATCTTGACTGTGTGCTAATGGTGTTACAGGAAGCTGACATTGAAGAAATGCTGAACAATGACAATGATGCACCTGTTGTGCATTCCTTGAGTGATGGTGAAATTAGATGAATTGTGAAATATAAATAAGCTGTAGAGTTGATATTAGCATCATATTGAAGTATTCTGTCGTGCCTCCTAAGAGCAGGAATTCCGCTGGAATGGATTAATGCCATTTCATTTAATTTAAATGAGGAAAATTGACTCGGCATACGAACAAATTGGGATACGAACGAGGTCACGGAATGGATTAAATTCGTAAGCCGAGGTTCGACTGTACAAAGTTATTACCCGTGCATTAAAACCGTGGTGAGAAAATCCTCACAAAACCCCCCAAAACTAGTCACTGATATATATCAAGTACTCTTATTCCTGGATCTCTTCCATATTTTCACATGAAATAGTCTGACCTATCAATGCCTCAGGCATGCAGAAGACAAAGGCTTAAATGATCCAAAGCTACAGAAAAGGGAATGATTGAAGAGAAAAGTGAAAGGAAAAAAGTAAGCTAGGAAGAGAAGGGAGTTTGAACCCTTCACTGTATTTTACTTAATTACTCCTGAGCATTCTCTATAAATCACTTACCATATTCATGAGACAGAGCACCTCTGTAGCAGGTCCCGAGCCACTCTGTAGCTGTAATCCAGGAACCTGGATCTGCACAGGGGCTTGAGCCATGGCATTAGCATTCTTGGCTCCCACACTAGCACGTTGCACCACTAACTTCTTGTCTCCCAGTTGCATTCCATTCAGTCCATGGATAGCCTATTAAAATGTTAAGAAAATAAATAACTTGTATGGATTTTCAGGAGTCACTGAATACACAAACCCAAGTCACTTACAAATGAAGTACAAAGGTACACCACAGAACAATACTTGTAAAACAGTTTACTGAAGAAACTACATACCTGATCAGTAAGGCTGACATCTACATATTCACAGAAGGCATAGCCCTTGGACAGTCCGGTAGCAGAATCCTTGACCAAGTTAAATGCTCGAAGTTGACCAAATGATACAAGCAGCTCTTTAACCTGAAAAGATTACATCCACAAATGGTTCACAATAAATAGAAAATAGTTTGAAAATTTGTAATTATAAATAGGCATAATATTCAGATGTTACATAACAGCAGCACACTCAATTCAGAATTATTTAGCATTAATGCACTAAAACCCCAAAACAGGAAATATAAATTCCTGTTTAGTATTCCCACTAACAATCACACACAAGGAACAGATGAAAGTACCACGAAGAACTGGAATTTGCCAAATAACGGTAGAAATTAACTATACAGGGGTTTAAACAAATACAGAACAACTTTTCGAAAATAGGAGTGAGCACTATCCCTGCCCCCAAACACGAACTGGAAATTTACATACAGCAGGCCTAATGACAAGGCTTTTACCCTTCAGGTAACTAATTACTTGTATTTAAGTAACAAACTACCAGGTATGTTATGAATACCACAAAAACATTCTGCATAAAACTCAGCCCACACTTCTACTGCTCAAATATTTTTACATTATACATTTACTGTATCCTTATGCCCTGCAAATGCAACACATCAAGTTCCAGAATGTAAAACGAATGATTGATTCAAGCTTTTTTTTTTTTTTTTTTTTTTAATATTTTCTGCATCCAGATATTGAAAACAAACAGACCCCGAAAA